CACAAGAATTTTGTATTTTATCATTAAACAACTCCATAGCTTTAAAAGCCACATTTTAGGTTATTGTGAGTTTCCTAATCAAAAGAAAATTGGGATTACGCAACACACATCTAACTTAATAGAAAAAGACAGTATCCATGCAACTATAATAATAGAGGAGCCTTTTGCTATCCAACTTTAATTGTGCAGTACCACCGTCACCCTGACCATGTGTACATACTTAATGCTTTGTCTACCACTAAACAATGCACTTATTGATATGGCACTATTGCAGCCTGGACTGTTCGTCCCGGTTTTCTTCTATGTCTATATCCACGCACACACACACATGCACTCACAGTAAACTGTCCTCAGAAAGTGTTCTGGTCACCCAATAGGCACACTGGTTGTATCAGTTACAGCTGAAACTGTGAGGTCACTGGGTTTTCCTAACTCAGTGACTGGGTTCATAATACACTCCCACACGGGGCTCCAGGTTAAAAGTAGGACAGATGGTTAAGGGATACGTTTGTGTCAACTGTCCAAGTTGCTGCTCCTCTTACATTTTTCTTGCTGATGCATCAGCAGTCTGTACAGCGGGGGAGAAAGCTCAGGGCTCTTTTCCTGCTGCCATTCATTTTTCTCAGCATGAAAAACTACTTCCACCGGCTTTAAACTTCCCCGAGGTCGATAATCTATCATAATAAAGACGACGTCATGCTCTGTCGGTTTTATTATTGTCTCATTGTATGCGAGTTTGGCGTTTGTGTTACACTCTGCTTCCTGTCATTCACCTGACATTCACAGAAGGAAACTCAAGTCTCACTGAGGAAATAATCCTTTACAAAACATGCCATTTTTCAAACCCTGTCACATCCATACCCATTTTTATAAAATAGGTACATATCATTTAATTTGTTTTATAATACAAAACATTTATATCTACACAAACTATTCTGTTGCAGATGTTCTATTGTAATGTCTTCTCTTCATTCACAAAACCTCACTGTGCTTAAATGAATTTCACGTCTTAAAGCAAAGTAGTTTCAGCAGAAATAAGTTGACCTTATAAATATGCAGTTTAATGCAGCAAGATCTTCCAAAAATCAAACCAGGCCATCCACTCAGTAGGGAGAACCTCTGGTGTAAGCTTTACGTTTTTACAAACTATCTTTTGTTTTAAAGTTATTGTGGTCATGCGACAAAACCACAAAAATAGAATCAAAACATTGTCTACTTCATCAGTAGATGAGCGTCACATTTACATAAAGCAACAGTGGACGAAATCTTGTGTTACCACCACTTTGCTGGTCATATGATTTTCTTATAAATAAAAAGGGAATCATTCACACTTAAAGGTGGGGTAGGTCATTTTGGAGAAACCAGCTCGAGTGCGCTAGAATTTGAAAATACACAGCCGGAAAAAATGTGCCACTTCCTCACAGAGCCCCTCCTCCAACACACACGAACGCCACATGACCAATGAGGGCACGAGATAAGTTTGTGCACAGGTGGAAGGCTGGCAGGCAGGTAGGCCATCCAGTTATTTTAGCCGGGCCGGCTCAGATGATTGGTCGTGCTTTTTACAGTACTACGGCTTCCACAGGTGACATTTATTTATGGATTTTTTGTCAAAGCACTTCAGATATTCATTGCTATCGGGATGTTAAGAGCATTCCATGGAATATAACAAGTGTATCTCGAGCCGGTTTCTCAAACTTACCTACCCCACCTTTAAGTAAATGTGTTTCTGAAATGTTTTACAGCTCAATTTAATTTGGGAATTCTACACACTTGTGCAAGTAGCCTTTTATTATTACTATGTGGGCAATGTATGCAAATGAACAACACAACTTCCTTTTATGTTATCATGCCAGCACTGAGAGCTCCCCTCTAAGTTAGCCAGCTTTAGGGCTCTTCTGGACTACAGATTGTAATTATGTGCATATTACATTTTCCTACCAATCTTAATGTTGTAATGCTGAAATCAGACGGTATGGGCTGCTTATTAGCCATCATTTGGAGGAGGGGGCCGCCATAGCCGAGAGTCAAGCATTGCAAGCTGGAGAGGAAAGTGGCGCGATAAGCCCAGTGCATGCTGGTTGTTGTATGTTTTTCACCTTTTAAGCAAATGGTCATTCCACCCCTCTTTAAGTCTTTTTTTTGGGGGTCATGTAGCATAAAAAAAATATTTGCACAGACAGCCCAGTTTCAGGAAATCTTTCAGCGCTGAAATGCTTTAACCCGGACAGCAACAAGAGTGTGATGATGATGTCAACCAGAGACAAATCCTGGAGCTGCTCCACCGACAGTGAATAATGGAACAACTGTCTGGATGCTGTCACAGCAGCCGTGGTAATTATACTGAGATGAGGGAAAGTTTTCTGATTTACAGCTCTGAGCCCTATTTTTAAATCTCCCTGGGTGTAATATCTCAACAGTATACAAAACCTCTTTAACAAAAGGTCAAGTCATTCAATCCTCAGTCGTGCTCCTTAGTTGATATGAAATTCAAATTAGCAAATATTTTAGTGGAATAGAAATGTATTCATATCAGGACAAATGCCATCACATTAAAATAGTTCATTAAGAGTCATTCAAGTGCAGTACCACCTCTTCCTTTCACTGACAAGACATGTCTGGGCTTGTCAGTTGCTCCTTGTGACATTTACACCAGCTGCTATAATGTTTTAGATTCTGTATATCTACTGGGTCTACTCATCGCTGCAAACCACTTCAACACAGAGCAGCTGGTTAACAAACATTTTACGTAATCTACCGACCACTCCTAGCCCATGAAGAGGCTGATCAGTAGTTGTACTTTGTGTAACCAAAGAAAAAACGAAATAAGGTTGATCCACAAAGTTCACTTGAGAACCACATGTAACAAGATGCCACATTGTGGAAAAAGTGTATGAAGAGCTGTTAATAACAACAGAGATCCATCCCCTTGAAATAGCCTCAACAAGGTCTCCCAACATTGACAATGTATCCATCATTCATCTTTACCAGTTGAAGGCAACATCGGCCTCGGGCAGTGATGCTGAGGGTGAGCGAAAACAAGGCTACTCTGTTTTGAACTGGAGATGACTTCCCATATCCAAGTCACACACCACTGCCTGCTAATGGATGATAAGGGTTGGATTAACACATGTTAACACATGCAAACACAGATACATATCTCCATTACACCTGTCACTATGGTGATAAAGAGGCATAGCTCCTTGGCATCCCAGTAGACAGCACAGCTCTTGTGCTGGACATGCATCACTTGCATCCTCCAGGCGTGGGCCACCTGCTGCTAAGCCTTGCCCCACAGGTGACCTTGGTGAACAGGCAACTTTACGTCCTGACCCTTCTGCAGACAAGCCAAGCTGATAGCCTAAGCCCCACTCTCAAACAACATCATCAAAAACACAACTGAATGCAGCATTCAAGCTAGTATATTTGAGAAGAGCTTGGCCACAAAGAACAACAGAGCCCCGTTTTAATGCTCACTCGCATTGACCACAGGGAAGTCAAAAATACCCGTAGCTTGTAATTTATCATAAATAACAAGATTCTTTGATAACATGTCCAACGTTTCAGTGGGTTATATTGATGGCCACCAAGCTGCTTAGTTTGACACCAGCAGGGGAACTAGTAAAATACAAAACAAGTGGCTAACATTAGCATGCTAACAAGTTAGCATGTTAGCAAGTTGGCTACCACCACTACACAAGAGCAATAACGACTTTACTCCGGGTTGCGAAAATGAACACTTGAAGGTATGTCTGAGGCAAAAGCACATAGCATAATATATCGAATACACATAGTCTGATAAAACCCGGTTGGATAATAAGAACTCACTGGCAAGCTTTAGGTTGGAGCATCCCGACGAGCTGCTGCCGGAGGCCTGCGCGACCCCGGACTTTCCTGTGCTGCTCCCCACGGCAGCGGCTGATCCGGTGGACGCAGCGGCGGTTCCTTGAACACCTGGCGGCTCAGCAAACGAGCTGGTCCTGGGCCGCCCGCTGCCGCTCATATCTCTGTGCAGGGGTCAGGGTTGTTCTTTCACTATTTTCAGCCTAGCGACTATTAATGATATACACCCGGCAGCGAATAATCGTGGAAAGACACCGAGAAATACCGCTCCCGTTGCCGCCGGCTGTCTGGGCTGATAGCTGTTGCTAGACACCTAGAAACAGACCGCTCGCAATGCCACATGGGAGATGAAGTTCGATGTAGCTGTTGCTCCGGCTTGCTGCACAGGCTTTAACAAGTCAAAGCAACTACACATTTAAAATGACTTAACAGTGGATGTAGGCGTGGAATATAGCTATACTAACAGTATAACAATTAAAAACATAACAATTAAAGGCTTAACATTTTAGTGTTACGTCAAAATTCATCAGATACATAAATGAAGTTAACCCTTTAGTGGAATGATGCTCTCCACTCCACTATTTTTTGACATTATTGTAGCTGATCCATAAAGTACTTTGTAAATCTGTGAATAAGTACTTCTACTGCTTGGAAAACTATTAATGAAAATGGAAATAAATACTTTGGAAATTCAGATATTTAGAAGGTTCAGCATTGTGATGTCTTCAACTAAATTTGCTTTTCAAATCGTATTCAATATAATCAGTGATATTATAATGTGCTTGGTTTAAACACCATTCTTATGCCAATATGACCTCAATCTAAAAGGCTACTTAATAAGCACTCTTAACACTGTGATGCTTGATAAATGTCAGTGTACAGTACACACTGTACGTTCCAGGGATTTGTTGGACTTGACTGGTGGGTCAAGTGACTGCATCTGGTAATCCTCTTCATTTGTCAAAATATATTATTTTTTTCGTCTCCACTGCCTTTTGGGGGGAAATGAATTATAAGCACATATTGCAATACATCAGAAAATAGTATCAAACTCAATGGACACCTTCTGTGTGTTTTAAATAAGATATACATTTGTGTGTGAAACATTCAACGCTGAATTGAAGTTCAAAGACATGAACAAATCCAAGGGCACAAGACATTGTGTTAGAACTTTAATATTTTCAATATTTAGTTTTTTTGTTGTTGTTTAGAAATATTGCACATGGTCAACATGCCTGCTTATGAGAGAACACTCACATCACTCATCCTAAAATTCCTTCTCCAAAGTAAGGACAGTTTATTTTTAAGCACAATCATACAGTGTACACACATACAAGTGTGTGTATGCACATATGTCTTGGTGGGTGTGTGCATGTGTGCATGGGATTTCACATGCATGCAGATGGACACTTTAAAGCCCTAACCCCCAAATTGATAGTCCTCTATTACCTGTGTGTATTTATATATGTATTTATAGTATCCTGAATATATATTTTATATATATCCTGAATCAACTGGGTTTGATAACAGTCAAGATGGCGGACAAAATAGTCATGGTGACTATAAAAATACTGTCTCTATTGTAGAATATATAATGAAGAATACAATGAAAAATATACTTTTGATGATCTTGCAGTGTGGAGAAAGAACAAGAGGTCGGTTGTGTTAACACACTACCCGCATGTGCCAAAACACACATACACACACACACACACACCCAAACACAGACCTAAATGCACATATATGGAAATACCGGTATATATATTTTTTCACACATCCAACTGTATACAGAGAAATAAAAGAGATACCCATGATAATAACTACCCCCACTCTTCACCGAGGAAGCAAAGAGCCAAAAAGTGCTATTCAAAAATTGTCTTTGACTTTTAGTAAGTTATACTCTATCTCTTTGACAATAACAACAATTGCGTGATTCTTTTTTTGTTTTATACCATAGTTAAAGACAGTATCACAACAGCTCATTCCTCTCACTGACTGACTGCACTGGTTTTAATATCTATGGCACAGAGCCTTTCCCCAAACAAAATAACCCACCCATTTCCAAAAAAATAAATGTCCTATTGCACCATTTGACGGGAAAGGATAAAGTGTTGAGAAGAGAGGGAAGAGGGGAGGGCTCCAGAGACTGCCCTCCAGGGCTGGTCTAGGATCTGCTTTCCCTGAACTAACCCTAACCAGAACCATCCTGAGCTACATAGCGCTTGACCCGGGACCAGTGCTTAAGGGCACTTTCTAACAACACTTGAGGGGTCAAGGGAGGTAAAATGGGGAGGAGAGGAGGGGAAAAAGAGTAAGGAGGAATAAGGTGGTTGATAACATACGGAACAAGGTTATTATTTTAACTACTATAACAATCTCTAAAAACAATACTTTCCTGATTTAACTTGCGGCTAGAAGGGCCACACGAATTGTGCAAACACCTGATTTCAACGTTTTTACAAAACGACAAACGCCCCCTGCTCCCCCACTTCTTTGTCTGGTGAGAAATCGAAGAGAAGAGATATTGGGAAAGGAGGGGGGGGGGTGAGAACCGCCCCAGGTACAATTAAAATTGTGGGGGCGCAGACTGATTATGTCCCCCGTCTTTGTCCAGAGTTTTTTTTTTGTGATTTTTTTATGCCGGAGAAGAAACACAATAGAGCCACAAGAGAAAAACAGGCCACGGTAAAACTGGTTATTTCCACGGCAACGATTACAAGAGAAAGCAACATTATATCCACTGGGAGATTCAGAGAAGTTTGGTTAAATTTCTACTTTTTTCTCTCTGTTGGAAAGCTTGTCATGTCCTTATTCACTATTAATATCTGTCTTCCTATAGGTGGAATATGAATCTTCTGTCCAATGAGCATCATCCAGGTTCTTCTTCATCTTCTGTCTTTTTCTCTGCGCTCTGTCGGGAGCCGGTCCAACTTAACGTGGATTCTTCAAAGCCTCACAACCAATAGTCTTTACATAATCTCTTTACGGTGCCTGTTCGCACAGGCTGTTGGGGAAGGGAACCCCAACAGACATACAGATATATATATATATATATATATATATAATCAGCTCCTGCCAACGAGGACTGTGTCTTTCATAATGGCAATAACTGAAGGTGCAAAGATTGGTCACACTACATCGCAACTCCCGCCTTCTCTTTGTTTTCCAGGAGCAAAAAGATGTCATGCTGTCAGTTTCTCTTCTCACTACAATCACAAAAAACTGTGCAGGCCGATGGCTTGGTCAGACCAGGGTTGACGATTTCTTGTACGAGTACTCACACTGCACATATGTGTCCATGCACTGCGTGTGTGTGTGTGTATTTGTACTGTATATGTGTGTGTGCTGTCTGTCTTGCTGCATCAAGGGGCTGTGGAATATCAGTGGAGGTCGTTGGGGTTGTGTTTGCGTCCCAACCACTGTGCTGAGGAGTGGAAGGGCGAGAAGGAGGTCGAGTCAATGGCATCTGAGGGCTGGCTGGCTGTCTGGCTGGCAACAGCAAACTGCATCTGCACGATAAGTGACAAAGTGCCTTTGTGTGTCATGGTCCTTGGTGGCTGCTCCCGGGGACTGCCGACCAAGAGTAACAGTCTGATTTGGTAAGGGTGTGTGTGCATGTGTGTGTATGTGGGATCATGTGCATGCTGGAGATTACATATGCGCCAGTGTTTGTGTGAGTTTCATACTAAAAACTACTGTACAAATGTGCTGAGAGCAGACCTGTGCCAACTGAATATATTCTGGATACTTAGGGGGAAAAAAGGAAACTACAAGAAGCATTTGACTCGTCAGGACTTGCAAATGATTTGTCCCCTTTTGAAGCTTTTTAAAAATTATAAAAAAGTCTAATAAGACGAATCAAGCGCACCTTGAGTAGTTTGAATATTTGTGACCATAGTAAAATGTATTCGTTCCCAGGTCTGGTGGAGATAAGTGCCAAAAGAACGGATCCCGCTGGAGCCATTAACAGTACTCAACACATACAAGAACATTCTGCGGGGATGACACACTCCTCTCTCTTCTTCTTTTCCTGGATTTTCCCACTTTGTCATCCTCTACCGCTTTACGATCCTTCGCTTTTCGGCCCCTCTGGATTCCGGCCTTTGTCTCTGTGCTGCTCCGCCCCTCCCTCCTCCCGCGCTGATTGATTGAAATAGGAGCTATGGGGCGGGGTGGGGCTCACTTCAGCCAACCCCGCTAACACTCCGGGCTCCAGGGTCCCGGGCGTGGCCGTCTGCATGATCTTCTGACGGACCTCGCGGATCTTTAGCTGCAGACACACCTTGGAGGGGAAGGTGTCCGAGTAACGTGCCTGGAAGGCAGCTGTGGCCTGAGCTGGAAGGAGATAGAGCAGGTGATAAAACAGTGTCGGATATCAAGTCATATATATTTGACATAATGCATGCGTGTTAAGAGTCCCATTCATTTTTAATTACATCTCCTTATCTTTTATAAACATATTTAATTAGTATTGTTTCCTGGAGCCTGAGACTTTTTTATTGCCTACAACTGCTCTTATGTATTTGTTGTGTATATGATCAATTAAAAAAGTGTACTTGTATAACCATATATCCTGTAAGTCACTGATAAAGGCAGTAATTGCTACAGATTGCATGTGCAATATCATTTATTTGAGCAGTTTTGCATATCATAAAAGAATGAACGATTCAGGTATATCTGAGTTTAACAACAAACTAGTATAAATAACAAAATACACTATTATATACAAAATAACAACAATATCGTGTTCATTTAAATACTGTCAGTCCTGCACAACCCTCTGAACATTTTTCACATTTGTACACAAAGCTACCTCTTCTTATATCTGCACAGCTCTCCACTTTTCATACCAATACTGCACATATTTTGTAATAACACACAGTCTTTTGGTATATTTATATTTCATTTAAATATGTATCTATATTTTAACGTTATAATAGTTTATAGTTTAATAGATTTTTATAATCATTTTATATCTTTGTACTTTTATGACAATTTGTTTATGTATGTATATGTACCATATACACCAAGGCAAATTCCTTGTATGTGTTTCCCTACTTGGGAATAAACCAGTTTCTAATTCTGGTTATCCTGATCAAATGAGGTGGGAAAGAATGCTACAAAGAGCCCTGTCAACCTACCAAAATTGTCTTTACATTTGTCACTTATATATTTTTTGATAATGTGAAATATTACAAAAGTGTGGATTTATTTAGGTTTAGGTTAGGACTAATGCACCAGTACTTATTTGTAGCAAATGTACTTGCAGGTTTCTTGCTGTTCAGAGTTAGTATTTTTCATGGTTAATTACACTTTTGGGTAAAAGCTTCAGCTAAATGAAATGTTATGTAATTATTGTGAAGTGTCTTTTAATTCCAACTTGCATTAGTAGGTTGTTTGGAAGTTCTGATATAATGGATGTTCTCCAATTAGAAAGTCGTAAAGCTGTTTGTGTAATAATTTGGAAAGTGTTTTTCTTGCATTATGTAAGTGTTACTTTTTCAGCAGGAATAAAGGAACAGACCCTATATAAAGGTACATCTTGGCTGCATAGTTTGAAACATTTACAATATTAAATCTCCATCTCAGTTTTTACCATGACTTCCTGTCCTATCTATGTTTACCTGAGGGAAAGAAGCCATGTTCCTGAAACAGCTGCATGACCAGGGCCCGGCGCTGATCCAGAGTTCTGCGCAGAGACGAGTAGGGGACCCGGTCCAGATCTCCAAGCAGATCCTCTCCTTCTGTACCTGCATGAAGAAGGAACACACCATGTCACTCTCAATGCACCGTGTGATGCAGGTGTGCAGCTGCTGCCCCTGATGTGCCTGCCGTACCTGCTCTGTCGAAAGTGAAGAACTCTCCCTCACACTTGGCGGCACTCTTGGGGGTGTTGGGCTCCGAGCTGCAGCTGGAGAGACGGCGGGTCTTCCTCCTAGGGGAGCTGGGCTCTTCTGCTGTCACCTCCAGCTCTGAACACATGACATGTGGAGAAAGGGAATATGGAGGAAAAGAAGAATTCAGAATAAAGCAGGGTACAAATAAGGAATAGGAGGAATGAACGTGGAAGATGCAGAAATGCAATGCGATACAAATATTCTTAATTTCAAATTAGATGTAAAAAAGGCTGTTGGAAATGTTACTTATTTGTTGTGTATTTATTATTAACTTAAGTACTGAACTTGAGCAGAAAATAAAAGTTAGATTACTTTACTTGAGTATTTCCATTTAATGCAATATTATAATTAATACTCCACTACAGTTTACACTACAAGTACATTTTAGATTATACATTTGTATACCCTTCCTGTTCAGTGATATCCACATAGGTTCAAATGAGATTTTAACTGAAGGAAGTTTTCCTCTATGTGTTTATACAATTATCCTACTTATTAAGATAAATACACTATTTAAAAGCTTCTTGGATAAGCTGAAGTGCTACGTCACAAAGCAGAAAAAAGGCAGTTTTTCTACAAAATTGACTTTTTAGAGACAGAGACAAAGCAACTGTGATGATCTTATTGAACATGAAGCACTGCTGTAGATTAAACTCCCCAGTAATACATTCAATTAAAATCAGAACTTCTACATCTACAGCATTTAAACACAGCATACACATGCAGTTATTTGGCTGTGGCTCAGGTTGTAAATGGGCCTATACCAAGCAGAGGGTTGGTGGTTCGGACCAAAACCAGTGCACACAGCATGCCAAAGTGTCCCTAAAATAACTAACCCTAACTGGTTCTGTAGGCATGTCTATGGTATTGAAGTGTATGTAAGTCACTTTGGAAACAAGTGCCAGCTTAATGACATGTACTGTAATGTAATATTAACACAGAAGCATCATAAATAATAGTTAAGCCCTTATAAGGAACATTTTACAGCTCAATGACTACTTTTACCTTTGATACTCAAAGTTAATGTTGCTGATCATACCTACAAACTTTACTTCAAAAAGGTTTGGAATGTAGGACTTTTACTGAAAGAGTATTTTTGCTGTGGTATTGGCACTTTTACTTAAAGATCTATGTATTTCCTCCACCACTGGATCAAAGAGAGCCTCTCTTTTTCGGCTTCTCACCGGTGGAGTTGCGTCTCTTCCTGCGGTAGCTCCCCAGGATGGCTCTCGGCGAGGTGGCCAGGCTCTGCAGAGTGGGCGAAGGCAGGACTTCCTCTGGGTTAAACTCTGGGAGCTCAGCAAAACGCTCCTCGAAGTACGTCTCCGACAAGACCCTGCACACAGAGGACACAGAGATGGTGTCAGTCCCCAGCCCGGGCCTTTGCTGTTTAAAACATCCAGGAATGGATGCACATTCCTCAAGCCTCAGGGCTAAATCCGCCAGAGCTCTCTCTTCTTTGTGGCTTCCCCAACCACTTTCCAAGTGTCTAAATAAAGAATATAAAGAGTGAGCACTCTGCCCACTCACATTCAGTACACAAAGAGTTTCCACCATAATTTTGTGGAGTTGGAGGTTTGGTCAAAAGACTAGATGCCACAATGTGTGAAAATCTGAGTCCTGTCCAGGGTGCTTGTCATGTCATCCTCAAGCTGCTTCACACACTAAGATATGCTACTGTTATGTGCTGGAGAAAGTGAAAACTGTTAAAATAGAGAGAACAAAGTCTTACCACGAGCAGAAAGACAGAAGGAGCAGGCAGACTTTGTTGTATTTTGCGTTTGGCACGGATTACACGAGAGCAATAACTTGAGTCTGATAAGAGAGGATGGCTCCGGACTTTAATAAAAGCTTGTCTTACAGTCAAAGACGAGGCTGGGTTTGAGTGATAACAAAGCACTTAACTTCTCAATTCCTCATTTACGAGTACTCACTGTATATTTGATTCAATAAAAAGTTCCCTCAGACCTGCACCCTGCTAGTGCCACTTCTTTTCCCACTTACTTTTCGTGAGAGTCAGGTGTCTTTTTGAGCGGCGGGGGTCTGAACTTGGTCTTCTTTGAGGAAGAGGGGGGCTCTCTTTCCGCAGGGGGAGGGGGAGGGGGGTCCAAACCAGGGGGTGGAGGAGGAGGGGTGCGAGGTCCAGCCTGGAGGGAGAGGGAGAGAGTTTAAAGAGGCCCTATCATGCTTTTTCAGGGTTCTACCTTTCCTGGAGTGTGTTATACAGTGGGGCAAAAAAGTATTTAGTCAGCCACCAATTTTGCAAGTTCTCCACTTAAAAAGATGAGAGAGGCCTGTCATTTTCATCCTAGGTACACTTCAACTATGAGAGACAAAATGAGAAAAGAAAAATCTAGAAAATCACATTGTCTGATTTTTAAAGAATTTATTTGCAAATTTTGGTGGAAAATAAGTATTTGGTCAATAACAAAAGTTCATCTCAATACTTTGTTATATATCCTTTGTTGGCAATGACAGAGGTCAAACGTTTTCTGTAAGTCTTCACAAGGTTTTCACACACATTCCTCCATGCAGATCTCCTCTAGAGCAGTGATGTTTTGGGGCTGTCGCTGGGCAACACGGACTTTCAACTCCCTCCAAAGATTTTCTATGGGGTTGAGATCTGGAGACTGGCTTGGAGACTGGCTAGGCCACTCCAGGACCTTGAAATGCTTCTTACGAAGCCACTCCTTTGTTGCCCGGGCGGTGTGTTTGGGATCATTGTCATGCTGAAAGACCCAGCCACGTTTCATCTTCAATGCCCTTGCTGATGGAAGGAGGTTGTCACTCAAAATCTCACGATACATGGCCCCATTCATTCTTTCCTTTACACGGATCAGTCGTCCTGGTCCCTTTGCAGAAAAACAGCCCCAAAGCATGATGTTTCCACCCCCATGTTTCACAGTAGGTATGGTGTTCTTTGGATGCAACTCAGCATTCTTTCTCCTCCAAACACGTCTAGTTGAGTTTTTACCAAAAAGTTATATTTTGGTTTCATCTGACCATTCTCCCAATCCTCTTCTGGATCATCTAAATGCTCTCTAGCAAACTTCAGACGGGCCTGGACATGTACTGGCTTAAGCAGGGGGACACGTCTGGCACGGCAGGATGTGAGTCCCTGGCGGCGTAATGTGTTACTGATGGTAGCCTTTGTTACTTTGGTCCCAGCTCTCTGCAGGTCATTGACTAGGTCCCCCCGTGTGGTTCTGGGATTTTTGCTCACCGTTCTTGTGATCATTTTGACCCCACGGGGTGAGATCTTGCGTGGAGCTCCAGATCTAGGGAGATTATCAGTGGTCTTCTATGTCTTCCATTTTCTAATAATTGCTCCCACAGTTGATTTCTTCACACCAAGCTGCTTAACCTATTGCAGATTCAGTCTTCCCAGCCTGGTGCAGGTCTACAATTTTGTTTCTGGTATCCTTTGACAGCTCTTTGGTCTTGGCTGTTACGTGCTCTGTGTTTTTCTCTGTCTCTCTGCTGCGCAGGTGCACCTGATCCGCCCCTGGCTCCGCCTCCCCCAGGTGTCCTAATTGCATTCAGCTGGGGACGACTTAAAAAGGGAGAAGCTGGAGGAGAAGAGGTCTCTTTTTCCTGCCCTGATGCTAAGGGAATAAGACCGTGGATTTCCTCTCACCTCGTGTGGATTTATATATTTTGCTGTATTTTTTTGTGTGAACTCTGGAGGATATTAGTATAGGTTTTTTCGCGGCTTTGTTTCCTTCCCAGTAGGCTGTGTTTGGACCTTTGGGTAGAGGAGGGAAGTCTGGGTCCTACGGCTCATGGTGTGGCTGGCCCAGGCCCCCTTCTTCTTTTTTTTGTTTTGTTTTACGATCCTCCAGACTTGGTTCCTTATTGCCGGTAGGCATGCATGTGAGTTACGGCTGTGCTGAAAATAAATGCCCGTCGATAACTAAATTCTGTGTTTGGCGTGGTTGTTTTTATGTTGCGGGTCTTCCCACGAGCCACTACCGCTTGGTAGAGGGACGGGACATAACATATGGGGGCTCGTCCAAAGGCTGTCTCGGGCAGGTGCCGGTGTACTGAGAGTGTTTCTTTCTAGAACGGCCCTTGACAGCATATATATTTTTGCTTTGTGTGGCTAGAATGATAGCCTAGCTGGTTTCAGTTTTGTTTTTGTTTTTCTCTTGGAGTGAGTTTAGGTTGGATTTTTGCGCTATGGAGTTTGAGCTAGAGGGATTTGCTAGTGGTCCGATTCGGCAGAAGTTGGACGCCTGTAGTAAAGCCCAGCTGGAGCTAATTGCAGGCAGATTTAACGTTGCAATTAGCAAACAGCACAAGAAGCGGGTCATCAAGGAACAGCTGTTGGCGGCACTTATAGAGAAGGAAGTGTTACATCCTCATGAGTTTGATGTGGGTAAATACACCCGATTTATTCCAGTGTTCAGTGAGAGGGACGTGGATAATTTTTTTATTCTTTTCGAACGGGTTGCAACAAACTTGAAGTGGCCTAGGGATGTGTGGACTGTGATGCTGCAGTGCGTTCTAACGGGGAAGGCTCAGGAGGTATACGCTGCATTGTCTGACGAGGTCAGCCGGGATTATGGGCAGGTGAAAGCAGCAATTCTGCACGCTTATGAGCTCGTGCCAGAGGCGTATCGTCAGAGGTTTCGCAGTTTCAGAAAAAGGGATTCTCAGGCTTATGTGGAGTTCGCTCGTGAGAAAGAGGGACTATTTGATCGGTGGTGCTCGTCGACAGGGGTAAGATCTCTAGAGCAGTGCTTCTCAAAGTGTGGTCCGCGGACCACTGATGGTCCGTGAGCGCCCCCTAGTGGTCCGTGAGTATATTGGTAAAATTTCACATTTGAAATAAATAAATAAATGTAAGTTTTCCGCACTCTCGCGGGAATATCTCCGCAATGGAGCGAGCTTAAGTTTCACTTTCGATTGCATGATATAGCCCAGATAAACACCTTCATCACACATGTGGCCACTTGTTTGTACCATTTTCAGGCGATTTGTAAAAAACTATGTGTTTTTGGATATTTGTGGAGTTAGGTGGTCCGCGAGTGTTTTTTTAGGGGTTAAGTGGTCCTTGGTATGAAAAAGTTTGAGAAACACTGCTCTAGAGGACATGAGAACATTAATGCTCATGGAGGACTTTAAAAACTGTTTGCCTGACAGAGTAGCCACATACATAAATGAGCAAAAACCTGTGAAACTGTCTGATGCTGCGGTTCTGGCTGACGAGTATGTCCTCACTCACAAGTCTGTCCTCGGTGGGAGGGATAGCGCGCAGGCCCGGTTTTGTGACAGCAAGGTCAGGGAAAGCTCCGCTAACGTGCAGTTACAGGGCAGCATGTCTATAGCTGTGGAAGAAAATGCGAGGGAGGTGAGTTGGGGACCCAGGGATAGCCCAGTGTGTTATTTCTGTAAGAAAAGAGGTCATATTGTGGCGAATTGTTATGCGTTACGGGATGAGAAGAAGCCTGTAAAGACGGTCGTCTTGGTCAATACTCCTCAACCGGGTGCTCCTAAATCAGAACTCGAAGTTTTTGCTCTGTTTCTTATGCAGGGAGTGGTGTCTTCGCTTGGGAACAACAACAGGGTTCCGGTTACCATTTTGAGGGATACAGCAGCATCACAATCTTTTATCGTGAGTAGTGTTTTGCCCCTCTCGGAGGAGTCTGCTGTTAATTCCGGTGTTCTTGTGAGGGGGTTTGGGATGCAATATGTAGGTTCACCCTTGCATTATGTTCACCTGGAATCAGATCTAGTTACAGGGCCGGTGATTGTCGGCGTTCGGTCATGTTTTCCTATCGAGGGAGTAGATCTGATATTGGGGAATGATTTAGCCGGTGGCAGTGTGCTCGTTAAACCGGGGGTGAATACGGTTGCAGTCACCCAAAGTCCAAGAGTGGAGTTGACGTTAGTGATGGTGATCTATCTGACAGTTTTACGGCTACGGAGTTGGACGGACCGATCAGGGACCCGCCATTATGGCGTGAGGGGGGGAAAACAGGTACGATAAGCCCCGGGGCTGTTCGTAAACCTGCCGGTGTGGTGGCGCTGTCCAGTGCTGGAAGTGACTCCCCTGGCGCCTCGGAGTCCCCGATCGCTGCGGAGACTCTGGTGAATGTCGAGTCTCATTTGGCACACTTGCATGACGCGCAGCGGGCAGATGTACTGGAGCTGATCGTGAGGTGGAGCACTCTGTGTCGTACCGCTCCGGGAGATTCGATCGCCACCAGCGGGTGTGTTCCACCATCGAAAGGGAAGCACTGGCTATGGTTCTGACTTCAAACCACTATAACAGAGTGTTTTTTTTTGTTGAGCACGTCTGTCGACTTAACGTCGATTGTTGTGATTGTTTTGTTTTCTTTAAAAAAAAAAAAATCACTAACTCATGGTGGGGGTGTTACGTGCTCTGTGTTTTTCTCTGTCTCTCTGCTGCGCAGGTGCACCTGATCCGCCCCTGGCTCCGCCTCCCCCAGGTGTCCTAATTGCATTCAGCTGGGGACGACTTAAAAAGGGAGAAGCTGGAGGAGAAGAGGTCTCTTTTTCCTGCCCTGATGCTAAGGGATTAAGACCGTGGATTTCCTCTCACCTCGTGTGGATTTATATATTTTGCTGTATTTTTTTGTGTGAACTCTGGAGGATATTAGTATAGGTTTTTTCGCGGCTTTGTTTCCTTCCCAGTAGGCTGTGTTTGGACCTTTGGGTAGAGGAGGGAAGTCTGGGTCCTACGGCTCATGGTGTGGCTGGCCCAGGCCCCCTTCTTCTTTTTTTGTTTTACGATCCTCCAGACATGGTTCCTTATTGCCGGTAGGCATGCATGTGAGTTACGGCTGTACTGAAAATAAATGCCCGTCGATAACTAAATTCTGTGTTTGGCGTGGTTGTTTTTATGTTGCGGGTCTTCCCACGAGCCACTACCGCTTGGTAGAGGGACGGGACGTAACATGGCCATAGTGGAGTTTGTAGGTGACCAAATACTTATTTTACCGAGGAATTTACCAATTAATTCATTAAAAATCCTACAATGTGATTTCCTGGATTCTTTCCCCCCATTCTGTCTCTCATAGTTGAAGTGTACCTAGGATGAAAATTACAGGCCTCTCTCATCTTTTTAAGTGGGAGAACTTGCACAATTGGTGGCTGACTAAATACTTTTTTGCCCCACTGTATGTGTTTTTGTGCATGCAAATGGTCTGAACAGTTTCTTTGAAAAAACGGATAACAACCACCAAGAAAAAGACATTCTAGTGTATTCTTGTACAGTTGTGTAATTGTACGATCCACAGTAGTTCTTTGACTTCCTTAGAGAGGTTTCTAGAGAAGGTTATCTAATCTTGATTTCTCACCTCTTTGCTGAGGTACTCTTCTTTGATGTACAGACCGACGTCCTCCTCTTTTTTAACTGGAACAGATACAGATCATTTCAGACTATGATATTCAAATACTGCAAATTTGTTTACATTCAATGTAAGGAAAAATGTATTCCCATAATTGACAATTTTGACAATATTTAATCTTTCATATGTTTTACAATCTTGATGATGCGAAAACCGATACCTATATTTCACAAGGGTCCAATACAGACTCTAATAGCTAAAAATCTGTATAGTTAATGATATTGTCTTACAGGTAGAAGAATGTAGTGTCGTATACAGCTCCTTAATTAAACCCTATTGGGGCTTGGTGATATTGAGAAAATCAAATGTCACTGTATTTTTAAACAATATCTTGATATCTTATTTCGACAATTAGGGCTGCACAGTTAATCTACATTTTATTGAAATCGCCACTAGTACAATATTTGGTAAAAGCTAAATATGTAAAACAAAAATTGTATTCTACAGACAAATCCATGTTTGGTACAGAGCCTTATTATAATATATTGTTCTCTGATAAAGCGATTCATGTTTGAATAATGGTAATTCCCTGTAATATTGTGATTCAGATCAGTAAGTCTAAATAGTTGACATTTTTCATTTTTGAACACTGAACCCTAAACCAACCAGTGGAGTGTTACCTGCTGTTTCATTAATAGTCAATAAGGAGCTGGCAGCTGAGCTTGATAACTCCTGTCCTCCATCTTCAGGCAGACCATCCAGCAGGTTCTCCTTCTTCACCTCCACCTTCACCTTCACCGCCTCGTAAGGCTTAAGGGTCGCCGCCGCTGAACCCTGCACCCCCGTCTGTAACGGGGAGGAAGGGTCCATCACGTCCTGGGCCGCGGGGGCCACTGCAGGTGGTGCGGGGGCTACAGAGACCACCCCAGTAGGCAGAGCAGCGGGTGGTGCAGGGTAGATGGCAGTTAGTACCTGATGGAGAGGAAGCATGTCAGTAAACAACACATTTTGTGTTACCTTCAAAAATGGGTGTAACAGGCCAACAGTGAACGTGTCATTAGACGGTAATCTAAAGCAGTGGGATAAGTGGAAATAGAGTCAAATATATAAATTACTTCTTTGGTAAACATTTATTTTTTCTTAGAAATAGTAAACTTATTTTTATGATTGAATATTCCATCTTTCTGTTTTGTAAAAACATAGAAGTTAGTGTAGAGGTCAAACGTCACAGCCGTATTTCCTTAGTTGCTTAGTCCTTTTCTTAATGTTTCAAAAGTAATGTATTTATGACTTTATAATATTAATCCTGCTGCCCTTTGGAGCTGCATGTGCTAATGACAACATTCAAAATCTTTGAAGCAAAAATATTTTAATAAGGATTTGTTTACACTACTGGTAAACTAAGAAAAAGAAGAAAGGAAACAAAATACCTCAGCCTTTGGACTGAAAAGAAAAACAAATATAAAGTATAATAAAAGTATCTATTCTAATGTAACACTCTTATCTTCTTTTGACACTAATACACTCTCTGATTCGCTCCTCTTTACCTGACGACCAGCAGTTGCTGAGGCCTGAGCTGGAGGGGTCTGTGATTGACAGCTGAGGGACGGGGCTTGAGCTAACAGTGGAGGCTGAACCAGAGTTTGCCCGACCGGGGCAATGGCGGTGAAGCCCAGGGTCGCCAGAGATGATTGGAGATACGCAGAGCCAAGAGGGGGAGTGGCCTGTTGGGGTGTTACCGGGGTTACTCCTGGACCAGACTGGACATATGTGATCCTAAAGGAGAGAGGAACAATGAGTGTGGAGCTGGATAAAGCTGAGTATAATACAGAGTTCATAATGTTTATTTAGAGACACATTTAAGCTTAAGTTAGCTTAACCACACATTTTCATTTCCAAATATTTTTTTTATGTTACAGGATAGGAACATGAGGGATCAAATATATACTTGCATATATGCAAGTTGAAAAAATGTTCTCGATTGATCCATAGTTTGGTTTTCAGATTTGGTGGCAGAAAATAATTTAAAACATTTTATACGAATTTTTTATGAACTGCTCTATACTTTTTTGTATTTATTTCTAACAAACTAAAACCTGAAGATATTCAGTTTAAGGAAACTAATAAACATATATAAGAAGATGAAATAGATCAGTTTTGGGCATTTTTGTTAAAAAATATTACTAAAGGCTACTACAGAAATTGTTGTTGATTAAAATTTGCCCAGTTTAATCTATTATCTATAATCCCATTTTCAATTTCAACAGTGTGACCAAATGGCTATATATATTTTTCCCCACCTTTCTCAACTTTGAAAAGGTTTTTACATTATGTATTATATGTCCCATTGCTCAAAGTGAAATGAGTCCAAAGAGTTCCCTTTCTTTATCGACATTCACTTTACATTTAGTATAACAACCTTAATGACCTGGCAGAGATGGAATCTCACAGCATCTTTAAATGCTGTTAAACCAGCTCCAAGCCCTAGGTAGGGGAAATAAAAGCGTATAAGTTGTTGTGTTTCAGGTGTTAGTGACCTGGTGGGTGGAGAGGTCAGAAGCACCGTCTGTGGGGGCGCTGCACCGGGAGCCATCACCGTCGCCACAGAAACAGGAAAAGGGCTCCCTGAGTGCAAAGCTGCTGCGCCGCCAGGGTGAACGCTGGTCTGCACCACAGGCATGGGAGCGATCTGGATGATCTGTAGGGGGGAAACACGCAAACAAAAGGGTTTTCTCACCAACTCATCTCAAAATAGACCCTGAATCTTCAGAGGAAAAACATCTGATATTTAATCATGAATGTGTTATGTATCCAGTGAGAAAAACTTATAAATATCAAATGTGCTTTTATGACTTCAGAACAAGTGTAGCACTTTGTTGTAGAAACGGGTCCCTCCTGAATAAAACGCAGCACAGCAGCAGTGCTGCAACTACCAAATACTTTAATTTCACTCCTCATTTCATTAATTGGTTTGATTAATAGATTAATTATTAAGGATAAGAGGAAAAAAGAGTGGTTCAGAGAGATAGATAGTCTTTTTTGATCCCTAGATTGGAGTTCAGGTGTTGCAGCAAAAAAACTGAAATAAAAGGCCAAAAAAAGACAGTGGCGCTCAGAAAAAGGAGCCATGTGGACATGAGCCCTATGATAGAAAGTAATAACTATTCCAGACCAAGTAAGTCAAGTGACATATTATGAGATAACGTGACATACTGTAGTATGATTAATAGCAGCGCTCTATACTGTGCTATATCTAATATAAAGTATATAAATTAAGGATATAAAATGCATTAATCAGGATATTAAAGTCATTAAATGCTTGGGTTTATCTGTCTAACATTCAAAAAGTCACAATTATTCAATTTATATTTATATATAAGATGAGATTTAAAGCAAATCATTATATTGAATAAGCTCTGACCAGCAACATTTTTGTATTTTTGATTCAACAATTTCAATTCCAAATCTGACCAATGAGAAGTAGGTAAAGAGTGCAGCAGGTGGCAGTAAAACATGAGCATAAATCCACTTAGTTCCCATCATGCCTAGTTTAAATGCTGCTGATGCCGTTGTGGATTTACCCACCTTGTTGCCTGTCAGCAAACAAGGTGGCGTCTATTTATATTTTAGGCTGTTGACACTTGTTTCAATGAACCTGTTGACATCCTCACCTTGTTTCCTGTGGCGGCGCCGTTCTGCACAGGAAGAGGCGGAGCGACCAGGGAAATGGAGGGATGAGGAGGAGTAGATCCTGATCTCACTGTTGCCATGGGAACCAACATCTTGCTCGGCAAACCCGGCGACTGAGTTTGAACTAATGAGTGAGAAGGAGAGAGGGAATTAAAACACAGCGTGAGAAACGGATGAATCGAGCCAAAAGGGGTGAGGTGAGGACAGCACAGGAGGGACGGGTGGGCCGCGGCATTTCAGAGGCTGATAATAGTGAAATTCCTCTCTGATAACGAGGGGGAACAATGTGCTTCAGTATGAATAGAGAGTGATTAAGGCACGGGTGGGCGGCAGGCGCTCATACTCATGTCAACAGTATTTCTCCTGTCAATCATTTATCTCCCGTTTATGTAAGCCAATCAAATCCATTTTGAGAGCTTCCGGAGGAGATGATTAATAAGGGAACTACAGCTAAAAGAACATTTGTCAGTGGACCCGTTAAACTGTATATAAAGATGGATGACATAACTTAAAAGTGAAGCCAAAGCATCTGAATCCCCCCCTGGCTGCTGCAGTCTTTATTCCCTCCATGTTAGCTGATAGGACGTGAGCTAAACTAATAAGTCAGAATGTACAGGTCAAAAATGTTTTTCCGCAAATACTGTTTTTTAGGTCGTTTTTATCACATTTGTATGTTCAAGTGTTAATTTGATTTTAATTAGTTGTTTAATGCTATATGAATGGCTTGAGTATTGACAGCTAATCTTAAGAATTAAGATTCTTAGGAAATCTAAATAAGAATTGCAACAGGAGAAGTAAGTTATCCTAACAAGACCGTGACTGTTTCTAACACAATAATCTGTTCATGATCTTGTTGTCTTGTAGTATCACTGATCATGTCGCTACCTTCAATTTACAGAAAGGTTAGCCAGTGCTTTGTGGCAATATCAGTGATAACAGACAGTGATATGACGTTTCTCAGACACCAATGCTGAGTGTACAGTATATAATAAGACATCCTGCAATTTGGTCGTAATTGTATTGATAAAGATACAGTTAGTTTGAGCGTCTTTTAAGCTAACGTGTTGCTAATATAGCAGCTAGTTTGCTCACACTAAAAAAGCAGCAGTAGTGCTAAGCTAGCGATGAGTTTCGGCAGGACCCTGATTCCGTGGCTCCATGCCCTCCACTCATTACTGCGTAAACTCTGGTTCCATATTACGTCAGAACAAGACTTTGTACAGTGGGACGAAGACCATCTTTATATACAGTTTATGGTAAAAACACAAAGTCAAAACTCTGCTTTTTTGTTTTTTTGTCCGCCAATCGTTGCTCTCTGTCTCACCTCTGGTTCCGGGACTGACTGATGCAACTCTGAGTCCCGCCCCTGAGTGCATGCCATCGGCCAGGGAGGCATTGGTGGGCAGGGAGAGGATTTGTTGGTGAGTGAGTTGAGGGGAGGAGGGGTTCTCGGTAGGCAGGATGTAGGGGACCTGCGCTATTGGCTTGGGGCCGGCAGAGGGGTGGAGCTGGGGCTGCAGGGCGGGGAGGGGGGTTTGTGCGTGCGGCTGCTCAGTGGCGAGGAGCTGAACTGGTTGGGCGACAGGAAAGGACCCTCCCAGAACTAGACTAGTGACCAGACCCTCCATAGGAGTGACACTGACTGGACCGGGGGAGGAGGATGAGGACAGGTACCCACCCCCTGCGGTGATTGGCAGCAGCTGAGGTCCTCCTCCTCCTCCAATCAGGAGAGTGGATTTCTTGTCCTGAGGCACTGAGCTGAGGGTGGCGGATCCTTCCACTTGCTTGCTGGCGATGGGCGTGCTGGCGATGGGTCGTACCACGTTGGTAACCATAGTGGGAGCCACACGGACGGCGCCTAGGACCTGGGTCACACCCTGATGGGCCAAAGCCTTGGGGCTGGATGTTGGGGAGACATCTCTTTCTCCTGCTGCCGTTTCCTCTCTCTTGGCTCTTCCCTCGCTCCCCTCCTCTCCTCCGTCTGTACCTCTCTTTCTGTTCCTCTCAGACCCCTCTTCACCACCTCCTCCTCCTTCTCCATTCCCTTTTGCTGAGGCGGAGGTTAGGATGGGGGGAGAGGAAGAAGGAAGAGAGGAGCGAACCACTGGCTGGAAGTTATGCTGGAGGAAGGAGAGACAGAGAGATCAAAGATAGGAAAGTTACTATGGAGTGTTTTTCTCTTCTTCATAAAAAACATGAAGTTACTAGCTCAATTGTTTAAAGTGGGGTTATATGAGGTACTTATTCATGCTAAGTGTGACCAGCACACCCACAGTTTGGAGAAAAAGAGATAGTTATAACACGAAAGCAAGGCAACAGAGCTATATTAAAGGGGCCCTATTATGCTTTTTGGGGGTTTCCCTTTCCTGTAGTGTGTAATATAGCTTTTTGGGCATATAAATGGTCTGCAAAGGCCACACACTGCCTAAAACGCCTCTATTGAACTCCTTTGTTCATCTCCGTAACATAGTGAGCAGACCAAAAACTGAAAATCTAGCTCAAATTGAGGTCCAGTGTGGACAGTAACTCAAGTTATATGATGATCTCTGCAGCTACCTGTCCATCTGGTTCGTCTTCATCGCTGTCTGTCACTCTCTCTTTACACTTGAGATCAATGGAGCCTTCAGGACAGGAGTCATCTGAGGATGGGACACAGATATCAGAAGTTAGTGTTAATACATTTTAGAAAAGACGACTTAACACACAATATCATTTCAACTGTTTCTTTGAACTGATTTCATTTGCAATCAGTGCCCTCAAACCGCCAATATCACCACCAAATTGCCAATGATGTGCTATTGTTATGCTTTATTCTAACACTAGCGATTTAATAGCCCGGGGCTGAGGTTCAGCAGACAGTCATTCTGACTCAGGCTGATGTTCATTGTCTTTTTCTAAGTCACACTGATCGCTGTGGGAACTGAAACGATGCCTTTGTGGTTATGCAACAGTCTCTCTAAACACCACGAGACCACCGTGCTATCATCTCACTCACCCATGACATCATCGTCTCCTTCTTCCTCACAGATGACCATACGCTCATCGTCGCTGGGCACGTCCTCCCCGTGGTACATGGACTGAGGGATGGGTCGGTGCCGAAAAGAACTCGCACCCTCCTGATAACAAATGAATACAAAAAGAAAATGTTAACAGTCTTACAATTGAACAAAATAGTAACTTTTTCAACCTGGAACCCCTTTATTTTACAATGTCTTCTGGTCTTAGTCACCAATGGGGACAACACTTTATGAAATTGGTCCAGTATTGAGTAAGAGCGCTGCATTGCTCTCGCTCAGGGCACTTCTGGACGCCATAATAAAGGGTTTTATGCCACCGTCAGGCTCAGGCTGTTATTATAGCTGTCTCAAAATGAAATAAATGTTGTAGTTACTGTGTCAAACAGAGTCTTTCATTTTCATTGCATCCAAACAGCTACAAATACAACCATGACTTTGAAAATGTTTCAGATAACACCAAGCTACACTTTCTGTACCTGTAAAGAAACCAGCACTCTTCCCTCCAATTCTCACCACCATTCCACCATTCATTGTCTTCCGGCAAAAAGTCACATGACCAAAGAACAAACAGACCTGATCAAGCGAAAGGTAAAACATTATGTTTTATTTCTCTTTAGGGGCCTTTCCATAAGGTTTCAGACACTTGGAATACAAATCTGAGCCTGTCAGTGGAAGAAACAAGCACTTTCTGTGCAGAATTGTCCTAAGCCATTACATCGGAGACTGTTTACATTAGTGCTGTAGCGACGCGTCGACTTCAAAATATCGTCGACGACATATTTCCGCGTCGACACCATAGACTGTATGACGCCACACACACGTGGGTCACCCAAAGCAACAAGCAGTTCGCAATCGCACTTCTAACACAATGGAGACTGAAACGGCTACCAACTCCTCCTCACAGGATTGCGCACGAAGCCCTCAAACGAAAACATCTCGCCCCAGGTCTTCAAAAGCATGGGAATATTTTAAAGTTAGTCCAAAACGCAAAGATATTTATATATTTATATCTCACTGAGACTGCTGCTTGACCGGAAGCAGCAGCTAGCTGTGGTGGCAACCATTAGCAGCTAGCATTTGCTCTCCGATTTAAAATGGAATTATGGATTATAAATTCAATAATTGTTTTATACATAGACGTTAAAAACCTATGGATTAACCGATTCAGCCGCGTTTTTTCTCATTTTAATGCCATTGAACACGTATTTTGATCAGATTGACAGCTACGGCGGTGAGACGATCTCCCTAGAAGCTCTGTGAAGGTACGTGTTGTGATGACTGTATTTGCTTCCCCTGTCGCGAGTCCGGATCACTCAGTGATGATACTATGTACCTACATAATCTGTGGAGTCTCAGTTTTAATCGGATATCTTGTATGTGCAGCTACGATAAGTAATAAGGGTACTTTTCTCTTGAGATCTGTGCCAATGTCCGTTAGCATTTTTCGCTCAGGGGTCATTTAGATGCTTCTTATGAGACTTGTGTTTTGTTTTGGTAAACATGGTTTGTATCGTCAGTTAGCTGAGATTATTTCCGTTAATCTGGTATAACACATTAATAGGTTCTTAAATATTAAGATCCCCTGAGACACAGTATCGTGAAAAAAAAATTTTTTACATTACGTTTTTTATGAATTGAACAACAGAAAAATAATCGTTCGATTAGTCGACTAATCGATCAAATAATCGCCCGATTAATCGTTTTCAAAATAATCGTTTCCCCCCAGCACTAGTTTACATAGTTCTCTCTAAATACTTAAGGAGGCCCTAATATGTTTTGGGGTTTTCCCTTTCCTGTCGTGTTAAATAGGTTTGTGTGCAGGTAAACGGTACTCTGCCCCCCCCCCCTCCCAGTGAGCTGTGGTGTTCCACAAGGAAGCATATTAGGTCCGTTACTGTTCCTAATTTATGTAAATGACATGTCATCAGCATGTGACTGCAACTTGTTCCTGTTCGCGGACGACTCAGCCCTGCTGGTCTCTGGCAGGAACAGGTTGCAGGTTGAAAAAACCCTCAGCTCCGAGCTCGGCAGAATCTGCACCTGGCTCGCCGATAATAAATTATCATTACACCTGGGTAAAACAGAGTCCATTCTCTTCGGTTCGAAACATAATCTCAGCAAATCCGACGACTTCTCAGTTGCAGTGGGCGACATTATTGTCACAAGTAAGAAGGAAATTACATACCTAGGATCTATTCTTGAGGCAAACCTCTCCTGTGACAGAATGGCATCCAATGTAATAAAAAAAGTCAATCAAAGAACTAGATTCCTATACCGGATCTCCTCTCTGGTAAACAAAAACACCCTGAAAACTCTGGCAGGAGCACTCATTCAAGGGTACTATGACTATGCTTGCACGTCATGGTACCATAGCACCTCCAAGGCGCTAAAAATAAAACTTCAAACATCGCAAAATAAACTAGTCAGACTACTGCTTGACCTTTCATCTAGAACCCACCTCACCTCTGCCCACTTTGACAACCTAGGATGGCTTAGAGTAGACGACAGAGTACAGCTACTTGCAATGGGCCTGGTCTACAAGATCCACTACACCTCTATGGTACCCATGTACATGTCAAAATTCTTCCCAAAGGTCAAGGAATACCATGATCATAACACCAGAGGGAGCTCCACAAATCATGTGAAACCCAGATTTGGCACAAAAAAGGGGGAATACACGTTTCGCAATTATGCCACATCAAGGTGGAACGCTCTTCCCACAACTGTAAAGGAAAGTAAAACTATACTTACCTTCAAAACCTCTCTTAAAGAGCACCTTCGGGGGAGAGCATTGCAAAACTGGCCCCGGTAATGGTACAAATCTCAACCTGTCGTTCAATGGACAGCTTCCCCCCCCCATCTATGTATATACTCGCATTTTAGACTCTGTTACTAACTGTATATCTGTAGACTTGGTATGTCTTAAATGTCCGGTTAGGATGTATTAGAACGAAATCTAAAATGAAAATTGTAAATAAGCAATCTGTATGTAAAAAACCACCTGTATGTAAATTGTAAATAAGCCATCTGTATGTCAAATATGTCTTATATGTCTTAAATGATGATGAATTGGAAATGGGGGACCCTGATGTAAACAAGACGAAAGTCTTTCTCTGGTCTGCATCCCCTTAACAATTGTATGTTTTGAGCTGTACTGTACTGTACCCAATATACAAGCTGTTAATACACTTTTCAATCAATCAATCAATGGTCTGCAAAGGCTTACATCCCAAAGTTCCCTTCAGAGGGAGTTTCTCTCCCACACTATCACCCCCTGCCTGAAACGCCTCCATTTGACATTCATTTGTTAAGGGGTGGAACATCTCTAAGCGGTTGACCAATCACAACAGAGCTAGCCAGCTAACCAAACATAGCAGACTGGGCTGTGGTTTCAGACAGAGGGTGAAAAGAGGTGCTGCAGCACAGGCAGTATGAGGAAAGAGCTTTTTGAACATAAAAGCATCGAGATGTCAGAATAGAGTATGAACCCCGATTAGTGACTAATAGACAAACACATAGAACAATTGAAGTTAGCCTTCAAGTACATCAGAAAAAATACATCAGACAGAAGCAATATTATCAAAGCATGCATACAGCTACGCCACCAGCATTAAACGAATGCCTTCAAAACAAAAGAGCTAGCATGCAGGCCTATCCCTCAGTGATTAGGAGCGCAGCAGCAAACACCACAGAGCCTTCAAAGGCTCTAAAAAAGTAGAAAGTGGAACCTTTGAAGTTGGAGGCTGAGCTCCCCCAGAGCTTCAGCAGCATAAACTCGAGCCCTCACACAAAGAATTCAGAGAGTCCAATTGAACTCTTTCAGTGAGTTCAACTGGAAGGCTTTGCAGTGTGAAGGACACATGTCTGCTTTCAATAAACACACTCACACACACATGTCTGTGTGTTTTGGGGGATTGCTGGGTGTTGCTTTTCATTTCTGCATTTTTTCCTTAATGTAATAAACTAGTTTTAAGTGCTTGAATGAAACTCGACTAATCTTAAAGCAAAATATTTTTAATTCTCTAGCTTTAAGGTTAAATTAAAACCCGATATCCAAAATGTTGCTGCACATTGAGTCTCTCTGCTGCCTTTGAGCTACAGATTAACAACCGCCTACCTTCTCCAGTTCTCTCTCTCTCTCCTTCTGCTCCAGGGTGTGCACGGCACTCTGGGAAAAGGCTCGGGGACGGGAGTGCTGCCCCCCGAACATTCCCCCTCGACGCTCTGATCCCCCTTGCCAGCCCGAGCCTCCCCCCTTCCCCTCCAGCAGCACCTTAGCGTCTGGATGGGGATCTGGAGAAGAGAAAGACTCTGATCAAAGATAAAATATCGTTGTGTGTCATCCATAGACTGTATATATAAAGGTGTCATCGCATTATAATCAATAAAACAGAATATCTTTACTTTAAAATCTAAAACAACACTTCATCAGCCTGCAATCTTCAATTCATTCAGCATAATGTTTTATAATACAGTAGATTTTGTTAGACTTGATATTCAACAGGATCACTGACAAAACCTTCAAAGCAGTTGGTGTTTCATTGATCTCAGACATTTTCCTTGTAAATGGCATATTTTACATTAGCTTGTAAATGTTAATCAATGCTAATAAACACACACCTATGCTCTCCGACATGCTCCTCTCCCGTGACTCCTTTGGCGTCCCGCGGCCCTCTGACAGAGACTTCCTGCGGTCCTTGTTGCACCACTTCCAGTCTGGGTGGGCTCTGAAGTGGGCTTCTTTCACCTGGAGGAGGATAAAGAGGTGCAGTGGGTCTTTATTTGTTGTGGATGCAAGACAAGCTGCTGTTTATAAACCGGGATGTCTCAAATTAAAAAGCTCTGATATGATGGCTCAAGATTTACTAATCTGGCATGGCAATAAAGTGGTGCAGGGATGACATATTTACCCGGAAGTAAACTGCGCATGGGTTCCCTCGACAAAAAAGCAATGGGATTTCTCCATAGGATTTGGTAAAATAGCTCGAAATAAGGTCTGTGGAAAACAAAGCTGTTTGATGAATGCACGTTTTGTTCAGCCGGATAATCTCCACATGTCTACCCTACTTTTATCATTTTCGAATCATAAATCGAATCGCCAGAAGCAAAATGCTAACGTTATGCTATAAACAAACTACAGCCGAGTACAGCAGCACGACTTCAACGTCACGCCAACTTAAGATCCATATTCAAAAATACAGATTCAAAATTGTAAAAGTTGAAGCGTTTGTTTGAACAGTTTGCCGGAGGCAGGGACTTGCTTTCAAGCAGAACAGGGCAAACAAACTTAGAGGAGTGTTTACGTGTTCGGCGTAATGACATACAACGTCCTCAACAATTTCTGTAGTCCTATTCAGCCACATGGTAACAACCATCGTTTTTCAGACACGGAAACTCTTAAAAAAATCCCCAGTGGGGTCACTGCTGATGGATTATAATGTCGTAGAACAAAACGTGATCCGTCTCTTAAATGTGTGTCAACCACATTTCGAGCTATTTTCCAGAATCCTATGGAGAAATCCCATTGACTCTGAGACGAGGGAACCCGTAGTGGTAAAATGCTAACTCACTTCCGGGTTTTAGGACTCGTCTCTGCACCACTCTATAAGACGTAACCAACAGAAAAAAGAGACACTTAAATCATTTTACAGCGTGTTTACCTGGAAGGCCAGATCGTGGTACTGCTGCTTCTCGTTGGGCCCCAGAGCGTACCACCACTCCCCCAGGATCTTGCTGACGGTGCGGTTGTCCTGGTTGGGATGCCGCTGGTGCACCAGGGCCCGGTGGCGTTTGCTGAAGATCATGAATGCGTTCATGGGTCGGCGGATGTGGTCCTTCTCCCTCTGATTGGGGTTTGTAGAGGACAAAGAGTTTGGTATTATGGTAAGCATTCAGCTTAATTTGTGAACCTCCGCATAGGGGATGGGCAATACATCGTATCATATTGATACTGTGATATAGGTCTAGATATCCTCTTTAAATATTGCATATGTGCTGTGTTTTCCTGGTTTACTGCAATACAGTAGCAATGTCATTTTATTATTTGTATTTATTTTTTACACACTATATGTCAATACATCCACATAACTGATGATTGTTAATCAAATAAATAACTGGTAATATGTTATAAAAGCACCAATAGTAAACCCCCATATATTGTTGCAAAATAAATATCAAGGTGTTTCGATACAAATATTGTGATAGTTGATATTTTAATATATCATATATTTAGAAGAAAATATTCAAATGAAGGTTATAAAGTTGAATATACTGTAAACAATTTGATTAAGCTGGAAAAAACATTACTCAAGTGTGTATTTGCTAAAGCATGTAAAAATAAATGGTAACACACTTATAAGTGAAACTAATTAATCATTTTACTTTTTAATTCAAGTTATTTGCCTTGATCAGTATGCTTTTTTTTGGCATGCATGTGTGAAAAGCATTGCAAAATTATCACAACGACTTAAGGAGTCTTACCGAATACATGTGATGATGTCACTTTTGGTCACCATAAGCCAAGCTCTTATCAATTTTTTTTCTGTACCTTTTTGCCCTTTCTACCATCTGTCTGCATGGTGGACTGACCTTCCTGTCTAAATCCTTTGGCAGGGCGCTGAGGGACTGTGTGCGTCTCTTCAAGGGGCCAGAGGAGGGCGTTGCCTCGTTGGCCACACCCGGGGAAAACCTGCATTCACACACAGAGACAAAAGTTAAACTATGTGTCCCCAAGAGATTGGAAATCAAGGGGAATTACTCAGTGAGAGGGAAAAACAACTAATGTGAAGGATTTAGGGCGGTATTCAAGACACACTATTCCTTATTTATTAAAGGGGCCCATATCATGCAAATGTTCAGGTTCATATATATGTGTGTTGCCTCTACTGTGACATGTTTACATGCTTTAATGTTCAAAAAGCAATTTGTTCTCTCATACTGCCTGTGCTGCAGCACCTCTTTTCACCCTCTGTCTGAGGCGGCATCTACACAGAGACGAAATGGAGAACGAACCGAATTCGATATCAAAAAAGTCTTCCGTCCACACGGTATCGGCTCAAGAAACATGTCCGTCCACACGAGACCGCTCGACCCGCTGTAGTACATATGCCGGGCCTCTAAGTGGCGCTGTATTTCCGCCACAAAATACACCAAAATCAGCGAATAAGACCTCCTGAGCATGGTTGCCATGGTTGCCCTTCTGTTTATTCTCCGCAGTGGATTCAGCGGTAACGCGGGGGTGAGCAGCACAGGTGGGGAGAGGCAGGGCTCTGACTGTTTCAGCGGCTGCTGTTTCTCTTTGTCTCCCTCCCCGAGGCGAGCGTGAGCTCCTGCTGTAAAAGGCAGGTGCACCGCACCCACTGCCACTAACTCTGAGCCTGGCTCCCGAGCAGGACATTCTCCCCGGTAGTCCACCAGCAGATGAAAAACACCCACCTCTCTCTTCCAAGGGACGAGGGAACCGTGCAGGGGGGTCTGCTGGAGGCTCCTGCTGGGTGCACTGTCCTGCGAGATACCGGGACCTGGCTCAAACACTCGGAACACTGTTGTTGTTGTTGGCGAAACACATCAGCAATGACGCAGGTGACGCGGGGGTGAGCAGGAGAGGTGGGGAGAGGCGGGGCTATGGCGTATAGGGCGTACACACGGAGCCGTTTGGCCCCCCAGAGCGTTACGTCCGCAGACCTACCCACCTTGGGACCTGTTACCGTTTGAGGGCTCCGTTTCCCTGGTTCCGTTACGGCCTCGTGTGGACGAATCGCCCATACAATAGACTCGAGAACTGTAGCAGATACAACCCGTTTCGTGTCCGTGTGGACGGAGCCTGAAACCAGAGCCCAGCCTGCTCTGATTGGTTAGCTGGCCAGCACTGTTGTGATTGGTCAACCACTTAGAGATGTCCCACCCCTTAGCCTATCACACAATGTGTTGGAGGGCTAGCCAACAGAAGGCAAGTGTTACCTAGTGACCTCACGATGTATGTGGGTGGAGTCTACTCTTGAGAGTAAATTAGAAAGACATGTGATGGGTTGTAAACCAGAACAAAGTCACATGTCAGCAAACTAGGTCAGTGTTTCCCTTCTGTCTTCCTGAATTTATTTTCCTTTCATTTCACACACACTTTTCTATATCTGTTCAGCCTTGGTTAGTTTAACTCAGCATGTGCAGTATTTATTCAGGTATTCCAAAGAAACTCCTGTTTTCTACAACTAAATTGAAGTCTTCTTGCAAGCCATTTGATTGTATTAAGGAAAAAGCAACCAGACAGCGAACTTATATAAAGGGAACCAATTAAATGATGTCACAAACTGGGTTAAGATTACTATTGTGTTACAGCAGTCTGAGAAACACAGCAGTAGACTAATGTACCAATGGTGAATAAACATAGATTAAGGTTTCTTGTCTCAAATGAAAAGGAAACTGTTAAAATTGATAGCATAAAAGTTATGACCATTAGAAAAATCTTTTGAAACCGTGAGGTGGCAGACAGAACGTCTGAACCTTTCAGCTAATAGACATTGAACTCTGTGTCAAGGTGGACTACATAAATACAGCGTTCTTTAGCCTTCAGGTCTACTTTTAAAATGCATTTTTATTATATAAGGCAAGTTACATTATTCATTAAAGATTCAATAAGCAAAAAGGGCAAAAATAGTGATACACAAAGGGGTGAAAATACTGTCAACAGTCATACAAAAAATTACATTTCTGTCTTTTTTTGAATAAATCTATAAATCACTATTAACGATATATGAATTAATTCCTCAATAAAGCCCTTTATAATAAGGATAGGAATAAAACTGGAAAGTGCCATGTATCAGTGCTACGAAGGTTTGAGATTTTGAGAAAATGGCTTTTGAAGAAATGTGTAGAAAAGCTCCATACATTTTTGCAAATAATTAAACTAATAATATAAATAAATAATTTTCGAAAATAATCGATCTAATAAATAAATATAACTTCACCAATTAATTACTTAAATTAAGACAATACATTATTTGTGTCTGAGGTTTTCTGAAATGTTATTCTTTAAAATGCAAATAAGGCATTATGTAATGCTAACTTTAGTGAATTAAGGGACAACTCAACAAACAGATATACATATAAAAGGCTGTTATCAGCCCAAATCTCAAAATTGTCAAGTGAATGAAAAACAATATTTCTGCCTGCTCTTTAAATTACAAAAAATGAAAGAAAAAAAGTGATCCCAAACCGAGAACTGAGAGATAAAAGTCAGTACAACAAACAATAACACATTTTGTGTGTATAGGTCCTGTCTGTGCATGTGTTCATGTGTGTAATATAAAATATACAAACAGAGTGAAGGACTTAATAATTAAAAGTTTGTGTTCTTCTTGTATTTGATTGTAAGCATGCCCATAGTGTTGATGTATAGGTAAAGCAGAGTAAAACAGCTAATAAATTGAGCTAAATTGTTCAACCTTGTTTTAATGTATGCCATTAGTCCCCTCCATTTCGAGGTAGCAGTATAACCGCTGCAGCATTGAGGAGATTGCTGAAGCTCTTCTTTTGGTGATGGAGGCCTTTGTGAGCACAGTGACCCTGAGACATTCAAAACCACACCACCAGCCAGACAGCCACGAAGCGTCTGAGTCACTCTGAAAGAGCAGACGCAGCCCGAGACTGAGAGGAATGAACAGGCACAGACTGTACAACTCCTGCCAGACACACACACTGATACAGCTGGTAGAAGTAGAGTTGTTTGTTGGTGTTTGTTTCTTCAGAATTTAGCTGTCAGAGGTGAATTTCAGTGCACCTGTTCTGAGCGTAGCGTCCTTGAGAGTCTGCGATTCAAACAACAGACAAACTGCGTCTAATATAGTCTACAGTTACTATCGGTTGTCTCTGTGAGTCATACCAGGAGACATTTAAACGTAGCACTTTTTAAAGGACAGAAGGTTAGTTTTTGTTTTTGTTCTGTTTCTCCATACTGAAAGTTTAAGGAAAATTACATTTAGCTACAGTTTCCTTTTTTTTCTTCTCAAAATTGATACATATCAGTTCGGAAATATACATAAGGACTCTGAAGAGAGGCACCAAAAATCCTTGGAGAAGTCAAAGTAGGGATCAGATTGGATTTTGGCGATATACATATGAACAAATGACTAGATATAATGTTAATGAACTAGAATCTTTAATCCAAAATAAAATGAAAACAAGTGTGGCCAATTCAATAGGTCAGGGAGTGTATATGTGACTCGCAGACAGATTTAAAATACTGCAACTACATGTGAACTAGAGATGGGAACGATTAATCGAATATTCTAAATTATTCAGGTTTTCGAATATGAGAATATGAGTTATGAATATTTTTATTGTAATTTTTATTTTTTTGGGAGGGATGCCTAAGTTGATTACATTTGATCAAATGGAATAATTCAATGTTTACGACAGTGCCATAGCTAAATGTGTTAGGTCTAAAGGTGTGTTTTGCTCTGCCCTCACAGCGGGTTTATGTCCAAATCCATCAGATCCAGCTAGTTCTAGCTGAAGATATGGCTGCTGCCCCTCCCTACACACAGATCACGCAGACTCAAACCTCATCTTATGCCCAAATTCCAGCTGAGAGGGTCTTCTCTACAGCTGGCCTGATTGTGAATCGTCTCTGCACCCGCCTCTCCCCTGAGTAGACATGCTCATATTCTTAAACAAGAATGAGTATTGAATAGCTGCATTCTGTGCATAGGCCCTGCTATAGGTTGTTGATCTCTGTTGTAATAGGGTTACGTTACCCTGACCCGTTATGTTGTTCGTGTTGTATGATCCCTCTTTCATTTAAAAACCAAGTTATGTTTTAAGCATGAAAGCTGTAGGCCTATAGCTGTCAACTGCTCAAACTGTGATCACCAGTTCAATACATTTGACAAATTTGACTTGGTTTCTATACTTATTTGAACATGTATTTATTTATTTATTTGTCAACACAGTTTTCCCAAAAAAAAATTTTTTATAGGATATGTACATTTTGGTTAACCGTTTTTTTGGGGGTCGAATATTCGAATATACATTTGCTTTCAAATTCCCATCCCTAATGTGAACATGATTTATTTTTTTATATGAGAGGCCTTTTTATGCTTTTATGCTCACAACAGAGGCGGCCAGCTAACCAATCAGAGCAGACTGAGCTCTGGTTTCAGACGAAGGGTGGTGATGCAGCACAGGCAGCAAAAATAAAGAGCTTTTTGAACATTAAAGCACCAATATTAATTAGCCTTGTGATTAATAAACTGTGATATTCTGCTACTAAGATTAAGATGTGTTCGCTTATGTGCCAAAAAAGTAATTTGCAAAAAACATCCTAAAATTAAAAACAGCATTATAACTCCAGAGGAGATAAAACCCTCCTCTTTGTACTCACGGGTCGTCGGTATCGCTCTCCGTCTCGCTGTCAGCCCCTCCCCTCAGTGTAGGAGGATTGTCATTGGTTGGGGGAAGGCAGGACGTGGATCCCCTCTCTATGTCTGGAGGGCCGGACCGCTCGACACTCACCGGGGCCACACCGCAACGAGGCTCTGAAAGAAAAAACATTGATATGCCAATTAGAGAAAATATACTCTAAAGTAAGAAGTAACAGAGCCATGTGTGAAAACGCGGGGACACCCAGCATGCAGCGCGTTGATGGGCAGATTAATTCCAAACTGTGGGAGGTGTGAGAAGCTCTGACTGACTTCATCAATGTTATAATATATACTGGGAACACTTAAAGGAGATTTTCCATCAACGGTTTAGTGAGTGCATTTGTACATTTCAGAATAATTTTTGTAATTAAATCTATCAATCTTAGTTAAAGCAGCATTGATTTTATTACATACTGCATGTGTATTGTTGTTAACAAAGATTATTTTAGCCTATCAGTGAGCTTGCTTACTTTCAGTCAATTCAAGTTCATTATAAAGCATGTTTAAAAATAACAGAAGGTGACAAAAGTGCAGTGCAAGTCAAAAGTGAGCACCAGAAAATATTAGAATCAAAAGCAAAAAAAACATCAATTTGTATAATATGAAAAGTACAAGGAAATATTATTATAAATCTAAAAGTAAGAAAAAAATATTTAAAAAACTAAGAGCAACTATTTATCATTATTTACGATATAGTCTTGATGTTTTTGTTAAAAGTAATAATGGAGGGGGAACATATGATAGATAGAGAATCAGAATAGAAGAGGAAGGCTAATGAAAAGCTTAGCCAAGTATTTTTGAGGCATTTTAGGCCAATTTATTTTTATTTTACTATATTGTTTGTTATTTTATTCCTCTATTCCTTCTTTTCAAATTGATAATATGACACAGTCATGAATAACAGGCCATGGAGTATAATCATTTTGTACAGTCTACAGCTGACATGATTAGTCAATAGAAAATAAAATGCATTGCCAAATATTTCATAACCAATTATTCCTTCATTTTCCATGTGAAAATGTTGAATACTAGCTTGCTGATTTTGCTGCTCTTTATTGTCATATTTTCAAATATATATATATATCTCGGTTTCAAACAACAGACAAACTGCGTCTAATATAATCTACAGTTACTATCGGTTGTCTCTGTGAGTCATACCAGGAGTCGCAGAGAGGAAACACAGTTTATAAAGTTCATGCTCAAATTGATACCATTTTGGAAATAAACACAAGGACTCTGAAAAGAGGCCGCACAAATCCTTGTAGAAGTCAAAGTATGGATCAGATTGAATTTGTTGTATTGTATGCACGTTTTTTCCTCTATTCTTTCTTTTCAAATTGAATATGTGACACAGCCATGAATAACATGCCATGGAGTATAATTATTTCCCAATAATATTTGCTGATTTTGCTCTGTGAAAAAGTGAGCTTTTGCTGCTCTTTTTAGTCATATTTTAGTGAATCAAATATCTTTGTGAGTTAGATTGATGATGTGACCTTGGGCTCTGAGAAATTGTATCCACTATTTGCTAACACAACATAGACTAAACCAGTGTTTCTCAAAGTGGGGGGCGCAGAGGCATGACAGGGGGAGCGCGAGAGACCAGGAGGAAAAATGTTTTTGAGAAAAAAATCTGAAAGATTATTGATTCGAAAATAATACAGTACAGTACAAGTACGTCTGGGTCTCTGTGTTTCATTCAAGCTCGGCTCTCTGTGTGTGTGTGTGTGTGTGTGTGTGTGTGTGTGTGTGTGTGTGTGTGTGTGTGTGTGTGTGTGTGTGTGTGTGTGTGTGTGTGTGTGTGTGTGTGTGTGTGTGTGTGTGTTTGTATGTGTGTGTGTGTGTGTGTGTGTGTAACGAGCCATTTTGTGTGTGTGCGCGAGTGAGAGAGAGAGAGCGCACCGGTACCGGAGATCGTTGTGGCCGGGTCTCAAACGTTTTGGTCATGATTAATGTAAAAAATTATTTTTACATTACATTGCATTTAGCTGACGCTTTTGTCCAAAGCGACTTACAATAAGTACATTCGACCAGGAAGACACAACCTTGAAGAAAACAGAATCATATTCATCATGACATTTCCGAGGCATTATAGTTATAAAAAAATAAGAGAATAAATGAAAAAGAGGTATGAAATACTATATGCCACTAAAAAAAGAATAAAGTTTGGAGAGTGATTTGTAAAATATCCAGAAAGAAATAGAAAATCTGTTTACAGTTCTGTTTCATCTGGGTGTTGAGAGATGTATCCATAGATCTCTTAATGTTGCTCTCAAAGTGCACCAGATTGATGCTTTTAACTTCAACATTTAAAAAGAAATCTTCCCGGTGGAGCTTGCCCCCGGACTAGGGCTGAACGATATATCGTGTCATGGCGATAACCACGATATGCGCATGCGCGATATTCACATCGCAGGGACGTGCGATTTTATTTATTTTTAATATTAATTATTTTTCTTTTTCATAATTTTTTTTAGGACGTTCGATATTAAGTAGGTACATTAACTCAAACACGTCATGTTACAATTATTTTGCTGCTTGCTACAAAAGGAAAACTTGCGCGGCTCTCATGACTACTTGAGTGAGTGACATGCAGGCTCTGCATGCACAGCAAACCACCAATCACAATCATTCTTGATCAGATCACAGCAGGCCCCGCCCCGCTAGTTTGCAGACCATCAAAACACCGGTAAAAAATTAGCGAGGCACAGGAGGACAATACCGGCGAGAATGAAGATTTACTTCCCAAAAGAAAAGCAACATCTGCCATCTGGAACTATTTTGGATACAAAAAGGTTCTTCTCGTCTTCATTCACAGATGAAACCCCTTATTTAAGGGTAAGCAACATGCATTATCATGACATGTTGGATCATGACTTAAGGTATGATGAGTCAACCAGTTAAGATCCAGACGTCCGTGACTAAAATCCTTCATCTGGTTAAATTAAGTTAAAAAAAACGCAATATATATCGCAAGGGAAAAAAAAATATATCGTGTTACAGCCGCTGTTACCTTGTGCCCTTAACTCTGGTTGTGTGTGTGTATGTAAATGAGCTGTGCGGTTCCTATGCTGTCAGTGGCCGTACCGACCTCGTAACATCCGGGGTGATTGGACGGACGTCACCCAATACCCGCCCGCTTCTGCCACGTCATCCGGGGGAGGAGCATAAAGGCCGGACACGGACACCATTCGGGAGGCTCTGTATTTTGGGACAGACGCCTCAAGCCTCGCATTGTGACATTGCCATATTCTGTGATTCCTTAGACTGCCTAGCAGTGTGTTCAGTAGGGTTCTGTGTGAGCACACTGATTAGCAGTGTGTCGTAGTATTCTGTGTTTAGTGTAGGGTTTGTGTGTGTATTGCGTAGATCCAGGTTGCTTAGCTCCTGTAGAACCGCATTTAGATTATTGACATTATGAAACAGCTTAGACCCAGGTTAGCTTAGCGCCTGTAGATCAGCATTTGTGAAACTATTGCTTAGACCCCGGTGATTAGCACCGGTTGATCAGCAACAGCTGTGTTTCCACACAGCTTCCTTTTGTTTAGTGTTTTGTTCCACTTTAGAAGTGAGGTACGTTCTTTCTTTTGTAGCATACGGTGCAACTCTCTTTTGGAGTCCTTTGTTGTTAAACCGTAACAGTTTGGTCCGTTGTTGGTCCAGGCTGTTCGTGTAGATATTATTGTGTTCAAAGTTTTGGTTACAAATAAACCACCGGTAACAATTACCAATTCCAAACTGGTCGTGTCGTGTCCCTTCGTACCCCTAGCCAAGAGGGAACGTAACACGTGGGGACTCGTCCGGGATCTATAACTTAATTCCTGGGGTTATAAGCAGGGCTGCACATAACTGGTGCGCAGGTGCGCATGCGCACCTCCGCCAAAAAAAGAGCACCGGGTCATTTGAAAAAAGGCGCTATTGCGTACCAACATTGAGAGAGGAGAGAGGGAGAGAGAGAAGGGAGAAGAGAGGAGAGAGGAGAGAGAAGAGAGAAAGATATTTGCGAGTTGCATATGAACTCAGGGCCGGCCCCTGGCGCTGGCAGCTCTGGGAGGGAAAAAAACATTTTTGACCGTTGGGGCTCATCCTAATTTTCGGCCTTGATGTAACAATATTCATAATTAAGTAAATGTAACACCCTTTTCACCCCGGTTACACGTTTTATTTGCCCTGTACGATGGGCGCTGTAAGTGATGAAAATGGGGGATGTTGGCTTATCTGGCACCCGCAGCTCACAGCCAAAGTGCGAGTGAGCGTGGGAGAGAGGGATGGTGCACCGGTTCCGGCGCTGTTGTTATTAGCATCTGGTGTACTGCTAGCTGCTCTAACGGATAACAGAAGAAGATTTTTCTACAATAATGTGGAGGGAGAGTCCTCTCCAGTCAGACTGAGAGGCTGATAACTACAGCTCAGTGAGGTAAGGACTCTGAGTGTTTAGATAGTTCACTTTAGTTTAAGTTATCTCAGTGGGTCTCAATTTATGTAAACACATATTTACAAGGCACTCCTTTATAATTATTGGGATAAACAGGTTTGAAATCATTCCAATGTATACTATAGGACAGTAACCAAAAATATCCTTTAAAACTGGAGAGATAAAAAAAAATGCATAAATAAATGTTAAGGTAAAATAAGATATGAATGAACAACACAAATAAAATAAGTTACATTCATTTGTTATTGGCTATGGTAGGTTATTGGTTATGTTCACATACTTATTTGATTACATCCACTTGTCTAAGATGACAACAGAGACTTTCGACCCAAACCCAGCTGTTGACTTGTGGATGCAAGCAGCTAATCACAGACTCAACCAGAGAGAAAGAAGCAGGCCTACATCATCAGCTACCATGTCTGACAGAGAGGAAGACAGTGAGGAGAACAGTCAGGAGGGTAGTGATGACAGTTTGTAGGATTACTGGTCGTGCTAATGTTGTCTTGTGTTCACCTCTGCATGTGTGTTCTGTGTTCACCTCTGCACGTGTGTTCAGTGCCGTGTGTCTGGCAAATAAAGTCAAGACCCCCTCAAAAGTTACGGTTTATTTCATTTTAAGGATGAGCACCAAGCAACATCTCCAGGTGCTCCTTTGAGAACCAGGGCAAAAAAGTTATGTGCACCCCTGGTTATAAGTGGGTTTTTTATTGCTAAAAACAGTTGGTGGATCGTTTCCCGAGCCTTTTCCATGATGTCCCGACACAAACTAATGTGATAACGCATGACATCGATGTAAAGGGCGCGAGGCCGATTAAACAACATCCGTACTGTGCCAATCCGACCAAGTGCGAGCTTATGAAACAGGAGGCTGAATATCTCGTATCAAATGGCCTGGCGACACAGAGCTCTAGCCCATGGTGTTCGCCGTGTCTGGTAGAGGCGAAATCTGATGGTTCTCCGCGCTTTATTACGGACTACCGTAAGGTGAACGCTGTTACGGTGACAGATTGCTACCCATTGCCGAGAATGGAGGATTGCATCGACAATTTAGGTTCGGCGAAATATGTCAGTAAATTGGACCTACTTAAAGGGTACTGGCAGGTACCTTTAACGGACCGTGCCTCAAAAATCTCCGCTTTCGCTACGCCTGACTGTTTTCTGCAGTACACAGTCATGGCGTTTGGTATGTGTAATGCTCCCGCTACATTTCAAAGATTGATGAATACTGTCCTATCCGGAATAAGCAATTGTAATGCGTATTTGGATGATCTCATTGTGTACACGCCCACATGGGAGATGCACATGAAGATCCTGGGGCAGGTATTCACCCGACTCGCACAGGCGTCTCTTACTTTGAATCTGGCCAAATGTGAGTTTGGTAAAGCTACGGTCACATATTTAGGAAAGCAGGTTGGGCAAGGCCAAGTCCGACCAGTGGAAGCTAAGGTTGCTGAATGTGCGGTGCCCGTCACCAGGAGTGATCTCCGCCGTTTCCTCGGTATGGCAGGCTACTACCGCAGTTTCTGCCGCAATTTTTCCACTGAAGCCCAACCCTTAACTAAGTTGATCAGTCCCAAGGTGGACTATGTTTGGACCCCTGAGTGCCAGCATGCATTTGAGTGTGTAAAGACACTCTTAAGTCACGCTCCTGTGCTCGCTACTCCCGATCTTGCTAAGCCCTTTAAACTCGAGGTGGATGCTAGTGCAGTGGGGGCCGGTGCTGTTTTACTGCAGGAGGATGCGGATGGAGTTGATCATCCTGTCTGTTATTTCTCACGCAATATATATCGCAAGGGAAAAATATATATATCGCAATGTCAGTTTTTTTCAATATCGTAAAGCCCTACCCTCCTATGTTAGGTCCACTCCCCACTTATACAAATAGCACTTTACCCCTGCTTACACCTATATGCCGTGAGCTGATTATCGAGCCTTCATTGTAACAGTAGAACATTCCACTGTAGCGACCGGTACATTCATGGGAAACCCTAAATGTTTGAGCACCCTCTATGAAACGTCAAGCTACCCCACAGCACCCCCAAAAGAAATCTCTGGCGCCACCACTGAGCCTGCAACCACATTTTGAAGAAATGTGCAGTGCAAAACAGGCTCATTGCAGCCACTAATGCTGTGATAACACACACTTTCTTGCCAAATATCAGCATTTTCTTTCTTTTCATTTGTTTGCACAGATTGCAAAGTGGCAAAGTATTATAACTTATTGTTCCAGCAAAGGGATTGCACAATTGTATTATGTATTTATTTTTTGACCACACAGACTTATGGAGCATTGCTTTATTATCACTGTTCTAGCAAAGGAATGCACACGTTCATATTGATGTATTTTGATAAATGTTAACTTGGCCCATTACGTGACTATTTGTGATGGGGGGGGCCGACTTTTTTTTTTCTCCAAAGGGGGGGCCTGATAGAAAAAGTTAGAGAACCACTGGACTAAACGATTAATCAATAGTTGGAGCCCTAAAACCGATAGTAAAAAATGATCTTACAGAAGCTCTGTGGAAGATTTCTGTCTCGCCAAAATGAGTCTCTGAATACACTTTAGGCCGTCCAGTCAGTAAATAGTGTTAACAACAATGTTGCTGGAACTGTATTGGTGTGAACATCAACTGTGCTGATTTGCAGTTCCGTGGCAACTGTTTTGGGAAACACTGACTTGGCCGCTGGTGTGTCCGGAAAACATTTGTACTCAAGTGTTTTGGCAGAAACACAGCTCTGCATATTATTTGAAGTTATAAATATTATATGGAAGAAAAATGTGTTTTTATCAGATGCTTTTATATAGATATTTGTTCAGAAGCAGTTGGATTCAGAGAAAAGGAATTGGGTGTTACCTTTGCTCTGATTGACAAGCTGCTGGCCATCAGCAGGCTGAGCCGCCTCTCCTGATTGGCTGGGCTCCAGGAAAGGGACGAGTGAATGCCAAGGGAACACTGGCACCGAGCGAGGCTCCACGTTGGTCCAAACTGTGGGAAGGCAGAGAGAGAAAAAGCTAAATGTCATCATTTTAGTATCACGGACTGCAGACAGAAGGTGGCGTTTTGCCCTCTGGCAGCATGAGAAATCCTACGCTATCGTAAGCCAGTGATGACCTAAAGTGTTACTAAAAACTACACCTTCGTAGAAAACGGAGGACCATGAATGGAGTTGTGTTTTCAGCCAGCTACTCTACTCCCCCTTCCAACACACACTCACAGAGACCATCCCTCAGCATTATGGGAGCTGAGGGGCCATGTGGTGTGGTGTGATGTGATGAGGGAACCTGTTATTTTATCCACAGAGACTCCAGACTCCTGGCCGTCTAGACCAGTGGTTCTCAAATGGGGGTACGCGGACCCCTAGGGGTACGTTGGAGTACTGCAGGGGGTACGTGAGATTTATTTTATGTTAATGAAAAGAAAAACGTAATTAATGCATTTAAACAAACTACTAATAGTAGATTAACTACTTTCTTCAAAGGTTTACAGTAATTCTGGATAATAAAATGGGAAAAATAAACGGGGTGCTCTCTTTTCCTCTCCCTCACCTGACAGCCTGTCAGTCTCGTGCAGCTCGCTGAACCTGTAATAAGTGAACCGACAGTAGAGAATAAATATATTTATAACTAGTTTAGCTAGTTCCAGAGTAGATACACTATCTAAGTGTGTTAGGTCTACTGTAACTCTTGTGTATTTTGCTTTGCTCAACGGTCCGTCACAGCGGCGGAGCTGTGATCATGCAGAGCTGCGTGTTCTCCGTCAGCAGCAGCTGATCTGATCTCTCTCTCGTGTCCGGTTATACTTCACTCATGTTCAAATCCATCAGATCTAGATAGTTCTAGTTAATTATATGACTGCCTGCGTGTCAAAGGGCCTAAACAATAAGCGTTGCTTGGCAACGGCGTGTGGCCGCAAAGTATAGCGCAGCATTATGCATAGCATATGTTTATATGAGGGGTCAAAATCCCATGCTCATAAAATGCTCATATATTGTTTTCTCTTCATTCCCCACGCCCCAAAATAAATAAATATACTAATTTTAGGTAAAGTAAGGAAGTGTGAGCAGTGTGGGTTTTATATGAACAGAGTTACACATATTTCAAGTGTAATAACTGCAGTTTGCCTCGCTGTCAGAATGACAAGGGTCCTCAGTGAAGCACAAGCCCATGTTTCTCACTACATTAAGTACAACTTATTAAAAAGATCAGTTCAATGCAACTAATGTCACCTTAGTGTTATTGCATGATGTTAAAATTGGTTTGCCATAAATTTAGTGATGGATTGTAAACATTTGAAATGTAGCATTTAAGTGTTTCTCAGTTACAACTTACAAGGTTGTTGTTTTAATAAATCAGACACTGATGGTGCAGCGCTGTACCTCTTTATATAGGCATTTTTATAGGGTACTTGGCTGATTTTTTTTTCAAAGGGGGTACATTATTGAAAAAAGTTTGAGAACCACTGGTCTAGACCGCTGCTGCAGAGCCTCAGTCTCTGAACTCACTCTGCAGAACCATTTCCAGCCAAGAACGACTACAGAGGACAAGTTAAATAAGCACACAAATCTCTATTTGACTCACTTTTCCAATATAGCATCACTTCTCCAACTTTATTGTTAATACATAATTGAATTGTGCTTGTTTAGTATCATCCTTTTAGTGTTTTTACATACATTTGGATATATTAAGCATTGCAATATGTTTTAATTTCAAGAGTTTGTTATTTGTATGGCTTCCTAACTCCCTAATAAGATTCCCTCCTAAATGTGCACCTTGTATGAGGAGCTTCTTTCACCTGCTCTATTCTTTTTGTAAGGGCTGGGCTTTGTGGGGGAGATCCTAATTTCTTTAGCAACCCATTTTTCCTCTAACCTCATAGAGTGCCACAGTGACGCATCCTAAAACCCGGAAGCAAACTCCTTCGACAAAAAGCAATGCAATTTCTCCATAGGATTTAGGAAAATAGCTCGAAATAAGGTCTGTGGTTGACACAAATTGAAGAGACAGATCACGTTTTGTTCAGCCGGATAATATCCACATGTCTACCCTACTTTTATCATTTTCAAATAATAAATCTAATCGATAGATTTATGATCGATAGATTTATGATTAGAAAAATGCTAACTTACTTCCGGGTTTTAGGATGCGTCACTGTGGCACTCATATTAGGGCAACATTTTAATGTGTCCACTATTTTAGTTTACGAATACAAGCTGTACTCAAATGGTGAATATGGTAAACAATATACCTGCTGGACTTTAGGAGCTTAGCATTGTCGTGGTGTGCATGAAAGCATTCTAATTTTAGCATTTAGCTAAAAGCATCACTGTTCCTAAATATTACACTCTTAGAGTAGCTAGCATGGCTGTACACCCTAAAGCCCTAATCAGTTAAAATAACAAATTCATGTTAAGTAAAATACCCAAACTTCATATACTACAACTACATATAAATCATATAAAACACATGTTAATGAATTGTCACAAAGCAGAAAAAGGGCCATTTGTTTAGGTAATAAAAAGCGAACATTTTGGAGATACATAACATTTCTCAGAAAAGCAAAAATGCTTAAAACAAGACTGAAATAACTAATTTTGTTTCACAATCATAACAGATAACAACATAGGTTTATACCATCAGATTACAATACATCTGAAAGCCTCTACTTCTATGAGTACTAACACTACTACTGTGTTACTTCTACTGTTACTACTACCATAACTGCTGCTACGACAAGTACCAATACTCAAAATACTTCAACAAACAACACAAGCACTACAAAAACCTAGAACTGCTAATGCCATCACTACTGCATTTTTGGATACATCTACTTTGGGAATCAGCATATTAGCTCATGGTTAATTCTAGGTTTCATTTATATGTATAATTATAATTATAAACTGTTATATAATAAATATTTCCTCCTCCCCTGACTGCGGTATTTCACATAAAGGTCTATCCTGGTTGCATTAAACTGGCCAGACTCTACTGCAGCAATGTCCAGTTTCCATTTATACTTTTATCATTAAGTATTAACAAGGTCTATTTATAGCTAACCATTCACCAGCTATGGCTCATTTCAATTGGAGATGTTGGAGGGCTCGACAGTGAAGGAAATGTAAACATATCCTGGATGTGATGCTCACACTGTTGCAGATGGTCTATTGAGTGCAGATTTCAGTGTCACATGACCATCACCAACCTTTGCACTTCTTACTATTGGCAGTTTCTGTTGTTGTTTGCATGAGGAACTTAAAGAGGAAGTGAGACTTTTTCAAATCTTTTACACACCAGAAGTTGCTTACTTAAGACGGGCAGGACCAGAAATAGCCCTATGATGTGCTCTATCGTAAAAGGTATAAATACACCATTTTGCTTAAATCCTTATTTGACCATCAGATATACTGGCACAACTCAAGGACACACCAGCATTCGAGTCCAGACTTTTAAGACAGATAATGAGATCGATGTTGATCAATATATTTGACGACTTCTTACCCAAAGAGATCAACTAGAAGGACACTTGGAGAATGCAGATTTCTATCAAGGTCATTTCCACAAGTGAAAAATGTAACAGGTTGTTTTCTGATTTCATTAACATTTCCAGATGTTTTTCGGTAATCCTAGCGAAAAAAAGTCATACAAAAGACTCCATTTTTTTAAAATATATGTATTTTCAAAGAATCGTTACCAAGACACGTGACATTTTGAGCCGCTGTTTCTTAATAACCCTGAAACTAGTTTTGCATTTCTTTACTGCAATTTCTTGTTACTCATCAGCTGACATATTCCGCAATACTGGTATATCCGCAAAGCATTTCTATCGTGAGGGAAAGTACATAGTAGGAAATAGTGCATATGAAACAAAAAAACGAAATGCACAAAACCAGAAATGTATATAAAAACAGTTTGAATGTATAAGTGTTATTAAAACAAAGTGGTTGGTGCAACTCTAAACAAACTAAATATTTGTCAGTGTTTTCTTGAATTGGACAAAAAGTAAAAATGAATGATAAAAAACAATACTCTATATACGTAACACATGAAGGTTCAGGGCCTGATTTGAACAAAAACAGGAAATGTATTTATAGGGTCATGGCTGTATTTAACCTGCATTATGTTAATGTGAGAGTGAAGATACATGAGTCAGAATGTCACACAGTGGGAGTGCAGAATTAACGCTCTTCACAGCTTCCACCCACATCTGCGGTCAAATACATAATTACTATTTGATCTGCTATACTTTCCAACCCTGCCTCAGACAAAGATCACTGTGTAAGGGTTGAAATTAAAATTGAAATAAACCGTTAAACCGGTCGTCGGTTTTCTCATTGTCAAGGACGGTGCTGGACTGGACGGCATTTTATATTCTCAATTTTTTTTCGACAACACATCTAACCTAATCGTAGGGAATTTGTTTGGACCAAACAGGAGTCTTTTATTGTAGGAACAGTGTTTAGGTTTTTGTTAAGTTGAAATTAAATGTGTTTACAGTGAGTTAACAAGGACATTAATCCCATGTAGTTCAGTGAAAGGGGAGAAACTTGATTCAGATGGCGTAAGGGTCTATCTTTCAGTTTAATAAGAAAAATAAGATCCTTTCCTGACATATTCTGAGTTTGTTTCTTTTCATTTATTATGCTTAAAAGCTTAGAGAGCTTGTGGAACAAAGCAAACGTGTGTGTTCGAGCACATGTCCCGGCACACAAACACCCTCGCAAAAACATTGAATCAATTGCTAGTTGAAAAAAAGTCGCCCTACTGTAATGGTGACAACGTTTTATAGATATGTACTTCAGAATAAGCAAATGGAATACAACAGATAGGAAGTTGGAAAGACAGACATATATAGTGAGATTTAGATTTTCCATGATTTGTTGACAGTGAGAAATAAACAAAATACAGTATATAGCCTAAAGCCCTTTAAATGGCTAAACAACTCGTTTAAAACATCTGAAGAACCTGCTGAAACCCTGAAGAAGCGAGGCATGAATATTCCAGACGAAGCACAGACAGCGGAGAGTTGTGAAAAATATCAGAGACACTGCGCAGATAACCATCTGTTGGTTTGTTCAAAGCGCTGACTGTCATAATGACTAGCAAGAGACAGCAGTGAGGAAGAAAATACACCTGATGAGGTGAACAGCTGTCTTGGGCTACTCAACTGTAGATATCCACCTGTCCTATGACGACACATTACCACAACTTTTCAAAAATAATGTTCCTGTGTGTGCAACAGCAGTTCCTGAGCTGTGTAAGGAGAGGGGACCTCTGCAACATCTGAGCACTTATCTCTCCCTCACTGAAGGCTGCAGACATACTCAAAGTGAGCAGTAATGAAACTTGTGATGCTAATGCAGCTGCACTTGAGCTGTGCTATATTTAGGGAGAGATCTCAGCAGCCGGGGGGGGGGGGGGGCTCCACTGTCTTCTGCCTGTGTTTGTTTCTGGGCTTGCTGTGGCTCTATTGTTTTAAAAAATGTATGGCGGAGAAAAGCATACCGCTACGCAGGCAGGTGGCTGTTAGCAGCAGTGCGAAGGATGTGAGAGGGAGAAAAAAACGCACTCCGGTGATCAGCTCAGGCCTCAACGCTTTACTGCACTAATTCTACTGGTGGAAACGTGTATCCATGACAACACGCCGGCAATATGATTACTCTTTTTTCTGCTGAGACTGATGCAACACATTCACATCGCGCTGGACATGCCCTTGATGCCCTGTCTCTTGATTGTCTGGAGCAGCGAGTGCATGTATGTGTTCCTGTTCCTGTGTGTGTGTGTGTGTGTGTGTGTGTGTGTGTGTGTGTTCCTGTTCCTGTGTGTGTGTGTTTGTTTGTTGAGGAGGAGTAGTGAGTGTCCTTGTTGCTCTCTGCACTCCTGCTCTCATTCTTGCATGTCTAGACATGTCAATATTCTTTTTAAAGTTTCAGCGTAACACCCTTGAAATCTCTCGAGCACAAATGCACACACTTAGATATGAAAAGGGCAACACCCCCCCTACACACGCACACTCAATAACTCTGACACCACACACACACACGCAGTGAGTCACCAAACACACACAATGAGCAACAAATCTGCGAGGCTGCTTGAGCGACTTGTATAATAAACAATAACTCTGACACCACACACACACACACACACACACACACACACACACACACACACACACACACACACACACACACACACACACACACACACACACACACACACACACACACACACACACACACACACACACACACACACACACACACACACACACACACACACACACACACACACACACACACACACACACACACACACACACACACACACACACACACACACACACACACACACACATAATGAGCAACAAATCTGCGAGGCTGCTTGAGCGACTTGTATAATAAACCTCTCCTGATCTTCACGCCTCAGAGGTGAACCTGAACCGTCCGAACCAAGTTTAAATATTATAATTAAATCAGAAAACGGCTGTGAAATAATGTATATACATTTAGAAATTCACAGATCTTCATGCTAAAATCTGTCACAAACACTCTGTAACCATGCATGAAAAAAGCACTGTATAACTAATATAACCTGTGCAATAACAGTGTAATATGGTTGTAATAGAGTTGTATTAATGTGTGATATGGGTGTAATAACAGTGAAATATAGAAAATAGTAATCAATTAATTTTCCAAAACATTTAAATATGATTGCCCATATAAGAGTTTAGAAAGTGTTAAAATTACACAAATTGAGAACGAGTGCATCTCAAATGGCAACTATTCTCACCCCTACATTCAAAGTAACATCTCTGAGTTTGGGCTGTTATATTGCATGGTTGGCATGGAAACAAGCACACAGTATATGATTAACCCAAACACCTCTATTTTCTCAGCGACCAATTTTCTATATCCAACCGAGTGCACACAAAGCTGACAAAATATGTTCACAACACATTTTTTCCCAAATGCATACTTTTCAAGAGGATGCATACAAATGTCTACTTGGGTAACTTCAAACTCTTTTCATCCTCCCTCAAACAACGCTTTGATCCTACCGACATTCACAGTGCACTTTGTATTTGAGAGTTAGCTGATGGTGTGATATAATAAGATAATGAGTGCCATTCTATGTTTTCTTAGAACACAACATTTGGTACTAAAACGCGGGGCAAAAATATACATCCATCCATTTTGTTTTAGCTTTTTTGCCGTTAGTATAATGCATGAGTGCTATTCATTTGTCCACTGGGACTGCATTTAAGGGAACTATTGATAAAGCAATTGTTAACGGTATGCTATTGGCAAAAGAAGAAAGCAACCCAAAGCAGCTAGCATTTATGATACGTCATCCATCTATGTCTATTTTGAATAGATACATTTATTTTTTGAAATATGTGTTCTTTCTAACAAAAGCAAACAACAGTAACTCATATATGAGTCATAGCCGTAGCAGTCTGATGGCACTCCTGTAACTGTATAGAGATAATGAAAGTGAGAGTAACTGTGCTAGGGTACGCAAGCTTCAGCCAGCACATCCCATAATACCTTACAATATGGCAGAAGTGTGCCTGAGCAGACTTTTTATCAGACGTGAACAAAGGTCAAAGCCACAGTGCCATAATGATAATCCCTTTTTCCCGCGCCCTGCCTTGCTCACCAGTGCCGGGCCGTCCCATGATGATCTGCTTGCGTGGAGCGGGGTGAGGAGAATCAGCTGGCAGTATGAGTGGCAGCAGGGCAGTTGGAGTGGGGTGGCAGGCTACCGGCTGCGGCAGCCCCCACTCAGAGGCATCCTGGTGTCCCTCAGGTTTCCTCTCCCGCTCCCGGCCTCCAGAGCTAGAGGAGGACAGGATGGAGCCCGATGAGGTGGGCATGGGGGAGGGGCTGGACAGGGCAGCGTGGCCCATTGAGGCTGGAGTCAGAGACTGGGAGGAGACATCAAAACATGTTTTTTGTGTTAATTAAGATTACAACCTTTTTTTTTTTTTTTTTGGAGGTGATGATTGTTGGGTTTTCTTATTTAAGAACAGGAAGAGGAGGAAAGGCTAAGAAAACAAGGTGACATACAGAACTTTACATGATACATAACAACACCTGACATACAGTCTTTAAACATGTTACTATATTAAGTCTGGTACCATTGCAACACCAAGGTAGCTATGATATAAAATTGCAATGACAAAGATTATAATATAGAAAAAACATTCTTACCGAGCTGGAGGTGACCAGGACCAGTGTGGATGTGGGGTTTCCCAGCAGAACTGCCCCGTTGGTGGTGGCCCCGTTGATGGGGACGGGGACCTGCAGGCCGGGTGTAGCTGTGTGTTGGGGCTGACTGTGCTCTCTGGACCTGCTCCTCTCCCTCCTCCCTAACGGTCCATCCGAGAACTTGGCCAGGGGGACATCAGGGTTTCGAACGATGACTGGGGAATCACGGAGGGGCACGATGCGGCGTGGGGATGGTTCCTGGGGCAGCGGTGAGGGAGGAGTGGGAGAAACAAGCATGGGTGGAGGGGTAGAGGCAGTGGAGGACGGTGGCCTGCTGGTGGCGCTACGAGGCCGGGGGAAGGAAAGTGAGGAAGGGGTCGTGGGCTGACTCTGGGGGGAGAGGACTCTGAAGGCGGCAGGGCTGTGTCCCAGGGTTGGGTCTCCCACCATAACTCCCCCTAACAGCTGCTGATGCTCAGGTTTGATCAGATAGTCCTGGATTGCAGGCAGCGGGGGGGGCGGGTGGTTATCGAGCTTCCTCTTGCTGGGGCTCATGGGTACTGTGAAAGTGAGATTGGTCTGAAACGTGGGCACGATCCCCGACAGGTGGCGCTCTCGCTCGACACCTGGTGTGCCCATCTTAGTGCCGCTAAGCTGGCGGTGGCGGCGTGGAGTAAGCAAGGCAGGAGCCGTGATGGGGCTGAAATTAGCAGGGCGGAAGCCGAAGAGCGGAGAGGGTGAGGGTGATGGGGTAGGGGAGAAGGGTGACTGGTTGGAGATAGGGGAGTATGAGGGTGTACCTGAGCGGGAGCCCCCCAGAGAGACCAGCATGGTCGCTGCCTCACACTCGTCAAAGTCAAATCGAGAGAGGTCTTGGGGGAGCAGAGAGGGAAGGACCAGGCGGGGGCGGGAGTCTCCCCCGCGGCTGCTTGCCTCGCTGCTCTCGCGTGACGTCTCGTCCCAGTCGAACTCTGAGCTTGCTCTCCCACCACTCATTCGGAGGTCAGACGGCGTCAGGGTCCCCGTGCTGCTGGCTCCGCCCCGTTCCCGGCCACCTCCGCTGGCCTCCATCTCCTTGGTCCTCATGGAGAGGTGTCTGGAGCAGTATCCCCGGCGCTGAGACTCTTTGGAGCAGCCCTCCCTGGAGCACAGCCTCCTCCATTGCTTTCCGTTGAACTTCTTACGGATGCCCGTTGGCGTGCACACCACATCTCCCTTCTTGTACTTTTGCTGGGCAGCTGTCAGAGGGGTGCGAGAACGTGAGGAAGAGGAGGATGTTGAACCCGATCCGGATCCACCGTCTCCTCCTCCACCGGAAGCACCTCCTCCTGAGGCCTTCTCTACTCTGGAGGATGCAGTGGAAGAAGAGATTGGAGGGAGCTGAGGGGAGTTAATGACCGCTGCAGTTGTTGGGTCAAGGCCTATTAGGACAGGTGATGGAGGGCAATGGGGGTTCAAAGACAGGTGGGCAGTGGGTATCCCGATACCCCGCACCACAGACAGGTGGTTGAGGTAGCCAGGTGGGGGCTTAGAGACAATGTGGCGGTGTAGGGGAAGTGCCATTGGTTTTGCCCCAGGTAGGATGGCCCCCATTGGGAGCATGTTAAAGAGGGACACCTCCATGTCTTCTTCAGGGGTGAGTGGCATGTACGGGTGGTGTTGCTGCTGTTGTTGGCGATGCTGCATTGCAGAGTTCTCCCTTTCTCGCTCTCTTTCCCTCTCTCTTTCCTGTTGTCTCTGGAGGTCCCTCTCCCTCTCTATGTCTTGCTCTATTTCCCACTCTCTGCTTGGTGCCAGGCTGAGCACGGACACCGGGGTTACTGGGGTGGGGATGTTGTGGCCCGACGTGGCGGAAACAGGGACGGTGCCAGGGTAGGGGATTCCTCTCCCCACGCTGGGTGTCATTCCCCGGCTCAGACGACACACCTCCTGCTCCACATCTATCTCCTCCCTGTCCTCCCGCTCCCTTTCCTTGTCTCTGACCTCCTCGTCTCCATCTTGTCCTCCTCCAGGAGGCAGATCCAGGTCCCACGGTGGCACCAGGAGCCTGAGTGTCTGTCGGGACACCCACACTGCCTGGGGGCCCACAGCTGTCCCTCTGCCTTCTTCTTCCTCGTCCACAGAGTCAGCTCTTTCCTCGGACAGCAGGACACGGTAGCGGTTGGCAACAGCAGGGTGTGTGTCCACCTGGGTCACCACACCTTCCCGGTACCACTGCCACTGGCCCTCGCTGCCCTCCTCGTTGCCAAATGGCACGCATACACGAGTGCCAATAGCTATTGGATGTACACCAGGAGGCTGGGCATCTAGTATAATGTCTACCACCCCTGGTGGGCTGTCATGTCGATACGGATAACGGCACAGCGTCTTCTCACCATTCAGCTGCACCTCCAGGCTTCCATATTCACCGCTGACCTTGCGGACGACTCCAGCTCGGAACATCAGATCTGAAAATCCTTCATCCCTCCTTTCACCTCCTCCATCCTCGTCCTCTCTTCGCCTGAGCTGGCGGGCAAGGATACGCTGATTCTTCAGCCCTTTGGCCAGGGCATCAGACAGAGCATCAGGGAGACTGGGTGGAGCATGTGAAGACATCTGCGTGGGGGCGTGTGACTCGCCGACTACCTCCAGGTCAGCTGAGTGCTCGCTTGCAGTGTCTGTAGAGGAGCAGCGAGGCAAGGGGCTGGGCAACACTCGCTCTACATCCCTCACCCCTTCACATCCTGGTGGTCTATCCCTGTCCCCTCCCAGCGTCAGGGTAGGGGGTCCTGGGGAGCTGCACTGAGGCCCCTCCCTGCCAGCGGTCCTGCTGTGGAAGTCGTCCATCAGGCTCCGGCTCTGACTGATGCTATCAGAGTGGGAGACACAGATGTCGCTTCCTGAACCCGTTGACCCGTGGTTGATGACACCACCACTAAGAGAAAGTGGAGGAGGCGTGCTGGAGGAAAGGTTGCTATGGTTACCAGTAGCAGACAAGCAGTGTTCAGAAGTGTACTTCTTCTTGGGAACGCGGGCTTTAAAGGTGGCAGTTTTTCGGCTGGAGGCGGGGTTTGGGCTGTTGTTGGCGCTGGGCGTACTACTGTTACTACAACTGCTACCCGCACTGTCAATGCTCACAGCTGACCTCCCTGATCTGTCGTCTGAAGATGTCAAAATCTTCCCAGAATCCATCACAAGCGACACTGTCGTTTCTGACAGTCCTTCTCTGTGAAGCCCCTCCCCCTCCGAAGTGTCCCGTGCTCTAAGTAGATCCGTCGTTATGGACTCTGAATGTGAATTAGAAGAAAATGCAGAGGAGGGTTTTCGGTTTTGTGGGGATCTGCTTCTGTCTCTGCTCTCGTCTGAGTCTCTCTTCTCCCCTCCTTCTGGGACGTCCCCCGCTCCGCGACGCTTTCCCCCTTTGGCCCGGGTGGAGGGAGGAGAGCGCCGGCCCTGCTTTTTTATCGGCTTCATCTTTTCATCTAGCTCGCATTTTCCTCCAAGCAAGTATTTTATTTATTTATCCCAGAGATTTTCTTTGGCGTTCCTGTGTTGCTCTGCCTAGTTTTTATCTTCTTCTTCTTCCCCCTCCTTTCTAGTCTCTCTATTTTCCTCCTCTGCCGGGGCCTCCCTCTCTCATCCTGTCTTGTCTTGGTTGTGCGACTTCGGCACTTGCCCACCTTATTCCAGAGACTCTGAAAGAAAGGCAACAGGGAGTGTGAGTTACTCATGAAACAAACACATTCAGACATGCACAAAAGCCCATTCACCACCAACGATAGCTACTAACTGCACGGCTATGAGAGTAAAACTGACTGATTTAATTCAAATTACACATCTTGGAAAACATTTGTGTGGCAAGAAATTCTAAATAAAAGCAAAGCAAACCGGGAGTTTATGATTACAGGCATCATTAAAAATAGCAGGAGTATATTTAAAATAATCCTGAAATGTATTCCCTGCTAAATGATGCATCACCGTACTATAGTAGGAATACAAATGACTCATCTACAAATTCATTGCACATTATTTTATTACATAACAGGCTCTACTCACATTACACACGGCCTGCATCCATACCAGGTACACATTGAAAACAGGAGACCATGTCGTAGGGTAAACACAATGTAGGCTTTCAACATAGTATGGAAATAGTGAGGAGCAATTTGCCCAGACAAGCCTTTCTGCATGCACACGCACTCTCTCACACACACTACTTATTGGCCGGGGCAGTAGAGGCGGGGGAATTCCTTCTTCGCTCGCATACTGAAACCCTCCCTTCTCTCTCTCTGTCTCTCTTTCTGTGGCGACCTTTATCTATGTATTTCAAAGCAGAATCAATCCGCCCCTACAAACTCCATTTCCTGTGGAAGACCATTACATAACTTCCCCTTACTTTATTCCTCCCTCTCTTTGCTACTATTACACTTTCATTCTTATCCCCTGCTTGCCTTTTTCTCTCTGATATCGATTTCCTTCTCTCTTTTTCTCTCCTCTTCTTTCACGTTGTCTCTATCCTCATTTTGTGCTGCAGTCATCCAGAGTTGTTCAGAAATAAATAGTTATTCCACACCAGAGTCATTCGCTATTGCTGTTAGCCACAGCCAGTCATTCCAAATATCTCCCCATCGGACTCATTCACAGTTCTGCCTCCGCTTTAGAAACTAAAACAGATTGATTTTGCTGACTTGTTGAAGGGGAGGCTGTTGTCATTTTCCTGGTTTGTTTGCTGTGTGGCTGATACGCGCGGGACTCGCCTCAGGTCCTAGCTGCTGTCTACTCTACCTCATTTCTTCCAATACAAGTCGAGTCTCCACAGAGCTACGAGCACCAGAAAGATGTTGACAACCAGTGGGACTAACAGAACACCTCCTATATGCTTCACTATGTTTCAAAAAGCTAAATGTATTTTGTAGCCAGGTAAAACATATAACACAGGTGGGAATAAACTGACAAACCTAGATGTATTCATGTATTTTATTATTTAGTTATTTCACCGTCACTGTCAAACTGTTCTAGATTTGATGCCCATCACCCATCACTCGGCATGTATACTGTCAGTGACTGTTTGTCTGTCTGCAAACTTCCATGTCTGCCTGTCTGTCCCTGTGTCTACATCCGTCCTCCCACAGGTCTCTTTCTCTCTGTCTGCTTGTTTCTTTTCTCTTCTGCAGCCTTCCTGTTTGTCTGCGAGAGCCCGCATTCATTCAGGTCCTTTTAATATCTGCCACATCATATCGGCGAGAGAGAAATCCATTTTCAGAGATGAGTGCCGCCTGTCTCAAGGCCACACACACACACAGCAAACATCTATGTGATGATAGTTGATCGTTCACACAGAGGGCTAGTGATCTAATGGCATCACTGTGCTCTATGTAAATCCCTATTTAGGACAGAGCAGCCGTAAGAGCAGCCACCATAAAATAATTTGGCAGCCGTCCTTACTTGGTCACGATAGAGGTATGCTACGTGTGTTTACTCAGTAGTGCAATGTGTACAACAGCTGGTGTCAGAGTCATGGCCCTAATGATAAGAGCTTAAAGAGAAACTGACGCAACTCACGCTTCCCTCTGTGAAACATGGAGTAAGGAAGTCCATATGGAAGCTATAGAAGAACTCCTATGTTTAATGTTCAGTGATCAAAGCACAGCACTGTTCATTGAATATAGATAGCGCACGAGGTTACCAAGTTCAGTCATATTGTATTTGCAGAACAGCTTTTAACTTATAGTGGAGGAGGCAGCAAATACAAAGTAAACATGATTGCAGGCAATATCGAGCTGATATAAGTCATGTGCAGTGACAAAAACATGACTGCCACTCTAGATGCATAATTTAGATTTGCTAAGCGGGGGTCCAGGTTAAAGTAATGGTTAAGGCACTTTTTCAACCGCAACTGGGCTACAACAAACTAATAACAACTTGAAAACGCAACTGATTCTATTATGAGGTATACATTGAGTGAACTTTATATTGTGTATGCAATATTATAGGCTATACAATTACATAGACCATCTACATTTGAACATTATTGCCTTACATAAATTATGATTAACCTGGGCATGCAGAGCCTCACTTTTACAGAACTTTAAGTGCCTTATGGTATGGTAGGTAAAAGTTGCTAAATTCTTTTTAATGGCATGTCTAACACTAACTTCTAATATTGAAAAGTGTTGTCATTGGCAGAGAATATCTTTTAAAGGTGTATATACTACGGTGCATTATTGACATGCAAGGGTGTTAAAATATATTGGCATACATAATTATATAGAAGGGCATTTTACATCTGATCAGTTTATAAGGGCCAAAGCACAAAATGCAAACTACGGGAGGTGATGTCATGTAGTTTAGCTGGATAGTACCGTGTATGTGTCAAGCCCTCGTAGTACAGCGATTACTACCAGTTTTACTCCACAACACAGCAGGCCGTAGTGTGCAGCCACACAGGCCTCGAATACACACAAGGCCGCTAGGAAATCCTCAACTCCCGGATACCGGGAAATAACCGGTTTAACGTGCATATTAACCCGTAATAACATGTAATACGGCCCGTATTCCCCGTGCTGCATGACGGTGTGAAATGTCCCAAACTGATAAACACGTTAACTTTGTTAATCCACTCCACAACGTTACACACAGCATACCGACTAAGAAACAGCAGACAAAGTCGGCTTGTTTGGCCCATCCGAAAGTGACAGTCGTCGGGAAATATAGCTAAAGCTACCCGGCTAACTTTGTAATGACACTCGTCGTCATTTGCATTATGGCAACCGAGATACAAGAAGGAGAAAGTGTCAATATGTCTGGCCACAAACTATCCAAGGAGAAGGCCCTCGAGCCCCCCTCAAAAACACATGAATTCAAACAGCCACGTTGATTCATGAAAAAGAGGAAGAAGAAGAGAGAGTAGGAGGAATGACAAGCTAGTTTTCGGGGTTTTTATACAGCACAGGGGAAATGATAGTTGTTGTAAGAAGTCCAACGGCAGTTATGGCGTTGAATTTATTTCTAATGGAAAAGTTTCAAGCTCACTATCCGCACCGCTCCCTTTTTTTCTCGCAGAAGATACCCAATCCGCCCTCTACTACTGCTCTCCGTAGGCCAGCCAGATATCGGAAAATGATCAGCTCAACTGCTAATACTGTTTATGGTCACAGTAAACATGAACAACGTTAGCAGCTCGGCAAAAAGCACAACAAGCCCCACTGCAGTGCTGCAGGAGAAAGATTTGTGGGCAGCTTATACTCACCAGAGCTAATATAGTACCCCGGCGTGGTTCTCTGCTGCGTCCGCCGGGTGAGATAGGGCAGGGTGGCCGGTCGTCCGCAGCTGCCAATTAGCGGCCGTTCATGTTTCTCCGGCAAAGCAACTTAAAAGGAAGAAAAACTACTGCCCTGTACATTCTACTCTACAGTCGCAAAATGGTGAATGAAGCCCCAAAGCCTTGACAACCAGCCCGCGCGGCCAATCGCCGAGCACGAACGCGTACAGTAGCCAACAGGATTCCCAGGAAGGCGAGCGGGGGCGGGGCCACGCGTCAAAGTAAATTTGACGGACGGCACGAAGAAGCCAATCACCGTGTGGGAAAACACAGAACAGCTGTTGGGAGCGAGGCTGAGGCGGCCAATGGGCCTCCTCGGTGGGCATGTCTGTGACTTTATACAGACACGCAGGACGGGGTTGAAATCTTTCTTTCTTTCTCCTTTTCATCCCCTCATCATTTGTCTGTAAATGTGAAAACGGGCGTAGACACAGCGGGGGCCGTCTGCCTTTTTAAAACATGTTATTTCAGTAGACAAAAAAAAATGGCATTACTATCATAACAATTATTAATCAATATGTAATGTCCCAAGCTGTCTCATTATTAAAACTTTAACTCACACGAACAGAAACAGCTTAAATACGTTTGTTATTGCGTCTTACTCTGTTCGCTATTCATTTATTTATTTATTTGTACCATGCAGGTTCTTAACTATGATCCATGTGATCCACAGGTTGAGTTCAGTTTCAGAGCAACCGCAAAAGAACACCAACTCCCATATTCTCATGCTTCCTTTCTCTCCATCTCCTCTCACAAACTCTCTCACACCCTCCCAACTACTCAGAGTCGCTCAGCATCTCTAAGTCCCGCCTTCAAAGCCAATCAGGACAGCCGCTGGAGGGTATACGTCACCATAGCCACGTGTGATTGGTTGAGAGGCCCGGGGTCTGCAGGCCAATGACCGAATGCTGCGGTGAGGTCATTATGCTTGTTGCCATCAGCTTGGCCAAACAGGAAGAGTGAAACCCCAGTGAGTAAATTGGTCCAAACGTAGGATTATGGCTCCTAAGAGAGTGACCCATATACACTGTGGGCCTCCCCTACACACACACACACACACACACACACACACACACACACACACACACACACACACACACACACACACACACACACACACACACACACACACACACACACACACACACACACACACACACACACACACACACACACACACACACACACACACACACACACGTACACACACACGTATACACACACACACACACACACACACACACACACACACACACTTTGAGCAGGCAGGGAGATGTGTATGTGTAAGACCAGGTACACACTGTTATACTCTGATGAATACAAGACAACATGCTAACAGGCTTATGGGAAAAACACAGTTAAACATGCACACATGCACATGCAAAAATACTTACAAATAAATACGTGCCCATGCGACACACACACGCAAAACCAAACACACTGAAAAAACACACTGACACAGTGGCATCCTGCTGCGATTTAATAAGACACTAATGGTGTGTGGATTGCTGTGTAGCAGTGCAGCTCGCTGTTTCTATACTATGCTTACAGGCACAGATGGCGAGTTTGGTCAATGATGATACAGAGCTGGCTGATTGCGGCATTGCAGTCTGACTGGAACACACACACACACACGGGTTCACTTGCCACAGTTACACACTACTGGGTGCACACATACGAGCAGGCACCTACACACACATAGACTAGCTAGTGGAGTTATAACATGCCTGGGTGTTACATAAGATGTACGTGTATTGGAGCACACACACACACACACACACACACACACACACACACACACACACACACACACACACACACGCACACACACACACACACACACACACACACACACACACACACACACACACACACACACACACATACACGTGTGCAATCAAATACACACACGTTTGTGTATATTATGCAGACTTTACAGCTTCTTTGATGCAAACATACAGACATGCACTGTTGCACACACGAAAAAGTCACCACTCACACACAAACTCAGCTTTGACATATTTACTGTACACATATCATGGCTGTAACATGTACAACGAGTGACTCATACATCTGTGAAAAAAGCACCACAACACATACAGACACATGTAAGTGCAGAGTGAGTGGGATCTCCAGACATCTCCCACACCCCTGAAAGTGTAGCACTGCAGTCTCTGTCTCCGTCTCTGACTGCTCATTCAGCGCAGACAAGTGTGCATACAGAAATGTGGGGCGAGTGCAGCGAGCACGCAACTTTGAGGGGTGGCTGGTTTCGTAAGGTGCCGTCGAGAGAGACATTAAATATACCCGATATTGAAGTCTCAGAGAAGCTTTAGGGTGAGACTGGAAATGAAAGCGAGTAGGAAGACTCTAATGGATAAAGGTAGACATGAGACAGACAGTGAAAAGAGTGATAAGACATGAATCATGCCAGCGACAGGAAGAGGGAGAGAGAAGCAGAGAGAAATGGGCCAGAGAGGTAGACTGAGAGGAACTCTTTGCTGCAGAAGTCGAGCAGTTTGTGAATGAGCGCCATAAATCCGGCTAGTATTAGCGACTCTGAGCACTTTCTAAGAATGAGGCAGAGAGCTGCAGCTAAGCCCCCCAATCCCAGTCACTTACACTAAATACATTATGGCCACTTAACTGCTAAACAGCTCCCGGGACCCTGCACTGCCTGACCCAACACTCTAACACTCTCTATTTCAAGAGT